GCCAATCTTCCTACTAGAAAGTTGAGAGTTGATGGTGGATAGACATGGGGCATTGATTACTCCAGCATGGATGTCTTTATCTATCGTGACTTGACGAGCGGGCGTAGTTGTTAGGTGGCGAACCACAGATCAGTGACCGACCGTGAGTGCGTCACTCCAACGTCTTCTTTACAACTAGTCGTAGCACCTGATTTACCATCAACTTGGAATGATTGTTAGCGCACTTAGTGTGTTTTGAGAAGTTCCTTCAGCTTGTCAGGAGGGAGCAGCGATAACGTGAACCTTGCTTTTGACGTGCTTTGAAAATTAGACATGAGAATGACAGCCCCCTAAAAATCTAGATTTTTTGTAATTCCCTGGCCGGAGACCTCCAAACCTGTGAACCAACAAGTCGCACCACTTTGATTGGTCAAATTGCACAAATCAGAGCCTCTGCTATGCTGGCAACTCTCACGCCCTTCATGAGCCTTTTAGATGCCTATCGACCGTGTAGAAGCAAAGGTACATGCCCAATCGGTTATTGATGTAACACCGCTATACCTTCCGAGGCAATAAGCATCGGACTCGCGTGAATAGAGGCAGGACGGCAAGCGCCTTTTTTGTGTAGTCACTGGAAGTCTTCAAACATTTCTACAGAGACTGGGAATCTGTCAAATGACTTTCTACACAAGAGAATGTTATATATTTAAGTGATACACAAAAGCGGCTCGTTGTGGAACATGGCGTAGATTCCATCGCCACTCAGATTATTTCAGTAGCTTAGCACTGCATAGGCATGACGCAACAAGCGCCCCACCAATCTCCGATCTGAATGAAGTTTCACTGCGGCACCGCCTCTCCATCACCGTCATTCTCATCAGTACATAGTCATCGAAGTTTGGAAGGTATGGTGTGTAACCTCCCACCCACCCTGTCACCAGTGGGATGCTCAAATTTTTCGTGACGGTATCTTCGCATGCATCTGTGTTGGGCAGGAGAAACGTAGACGACGGTAAAAAACGTGGAGAAATGCGTGACAGCCTCCCGTGTCAAATGTTCCATCCCGTTTCATCCCTTCCTTCAGTCTTCGGATTCTTTCCGCGCTAACACCTTTAACAGTGAAACAAACGCTGCCGCCCTCCTTTGTTAAGGCAACCAAGTTCCTTCTACATTCAGGCGCTACACAGCCACCTATCATCAGCGAGTTCATAAGTCGCCTTCTGCTTAATCATCCTCCACACCACTTGTCTCAACTGGCGTGCGTCAACAGTGCCACAATGGTAAACGAGGCAGAATTGCTAGTCCGTTTAGCCACTGGCAGTTGATTCAACTATAATAAAATTAAAACACTTCCCTGCCACTTCGCGCATAGAGGAGAAGAGGCGGATAGATAGGAGAAGAAGACGAAGGCAACGATTCCGAGTCAGTGATTGGCTGGAAAGTAGAAAAGGAAGGGGCAGTTGGGGGGAGAAAAGGGGAGAGGGATTTTATGCACACAAAGTAGTTGAGACAGGGGAAACGAGTAGACGCCTTGTCTGTTTGTTGGTTTCTTTGCTTGTTTTGTGTATGTTGGAGTAAAATTAGGCTACTGTACACGGGGGATTGGTTGACAGACTGGCTGGATGGAGGAGAGGATGGATGATGGGATGGGCAGACGGGAACTAGACCAGGACAAACTCCGAGGTGTAGATATTCTCTTCGTCCTCCGTGGCTTCAACAGGTCCTGTCGTCGTCGCCACAGCTGTTCCTGTCGAGGTTGATGGTTGTTGTTGTTGTTGGTGGTGGTGTTGCTGTTGGCGCGCCCTGCACACGACAGTGGCATGCTTTAAAGTTTGAATTCATTAGAAATTACATCGAATCAATCAAAAAAACTCACCTTCCGTCGGAGGAATCGAAGACGACGATGCTTCGGGAGGCTGAGCTGTAGCCGGTGGAGGCGGCGCTGGCGTTATTGTTGCTGGTGCCACGAGCGGTGCCTGTAGAAGTATCAAGTTTAGACAAGAACTGTATATTTGCTTTAATCACGATTACAGTGGGTGGCTTCAGTTATCGTGGGCCAAACCTCATGCAAACAACTTGGAGATATCTAACATTAGTCTTTCACATTTTCTATACGTCTTCGCCGCCCATGGAATAGATTAAACAGGAATCCTTTCCCCGTAGACCATCACCGAGCTTTCACCTCTGCGTACCCAAATAAATCCCTCGCTCTCCTAGTGTAGTTCATCTAACAGGATGGATGAAATGATGGGAATAATCTCATCATCGCAACGCTTCATTATCCTAGTCTTCGCCTCGCAGTTGGATGAGTAATCTTAGTCTTCTTGCTTACTCTTCCGGCTCTGATAATGTTGCTGCTGTTGCTGCCTACTTCTAGGGCTTCCACTGCCACCTCCTTCAGTCATTGACCCTTGTCTTCGAACCATGGAAGCACGTATAGTGGATCGATGTTGTCGTCCAACCGGCTGCCCATAGTAACTTCCTCCCACAGCCGTCGCCGCCGCTGTCGCAGCCGTTGGATAGTAGTAACTATGCTGGCTGGACTGTCGATGGTATCCGGGCATTGGGATAGCCCCGCGAGCCAACCCAGACATTCCGGAATCGCTCTCCAGATCAGGGCTAAAAGATCATCAGTACAAAGAACTGTCACGGAAGGTATAAAATAAAATTTATCCACTTAGAGAGACACCCATATAGCAGAACGGTCTCCATGACATGCACAACCATCTTGGCGAGGTGCGTCCAGTCATCCACTTTTTACACTACATATAGCTTCAGACACGACTGGGAGGGCTTCACTCACAACTCTATCCTTGCTGCAAGAAGCTGTTGGTTCTGCGGAATCGTCGGCAATTTGGATGAGGGTCCACCACGAAGAGGGACAACAGCACGAGATTGAGTAGCTCCCATGGCTGAATAGTCAACCGAAGCATAGGTGTCGGTCATTTCCGAGGGGCATTCGGACAGCTGACGTTTTAGGAAAGCAGGAGGCAGAGCTTCACTAGCGATAGCCATTGCTGCCAGTCCGGGACGAGTAGATGGTGCGCCACGACGAGAGACGTCGATTGTGCCTAAATGACGAGACCAAGGACTTGTAGAGGTGCGACTCGTCGAATCGGAAGGTCATAAGCTACTTATGAAGTTAATAAGTAGGCTACTTGGGTGATCAACGGGAGATTAACTTGAGGATGATATTCCATCCGTTCGGTATCATTTCACCTGCTCTCTTACCGTTAGGTAGCCGACCGTCCATTTCATCCGGCATTGGTGGCTGTTGCGTAAATTGACATATTCCAGGATCCGTAGTTTCACTAGATCCCGATCCACCACCTCCAGCGTTCACCACCGTCGATGAAGGCGCTACGGCTCCCACCTCTCCCGACGCTGTTGTTGCCACAGCAACTGCTGTTCCAGTCCCTCCTACAGTCGCCAAGAATCGGCCGTTTTTGCGTCCATACTCATAGGCTTGCATCAGCTCGTCTTGATTAGACGATACCGTCGTTGAACTGAGCACACTTCCGCGATAGGCCGCTGTGAGCGGATCCAACGCAAGATGAGAATTCCGAGTGTCGTAGAAAACCCCGGAATTCGGTCCTCCTGCACCTCCACTAGAAGGTCCAGCTGTTGCAATATTTCCAACAGTGGGGTTGTTGCCTCTAGGTCTTGCATAGCCCCGATGATAGGTAGTTGATGGGAAAAGGCCTAAAAAAATTGGACAATCACCACCAGTGAGACTATAAATAGGATTGAATGGCTTGGAAATGGATAGCAACCTTGTCGGAAGACGTGTTGTTGAAGGGACTCAGATGAATTAATTCGCCGGTGGGCTAGGAGTGGGTGAGGACCAAAGAAATCAATGTCTTCGTCATCATCCACGAGATCGTCGTCATTATTGACGTAGGGTTGATGAAGTGGGGGATCCAACAAAGCATGATGTTGAAATTGTCGACTACTGAGTCCACGAATTGTCCTTGGGTCACCGATGGGTAGAAAACGACCTTGAACTCGACCAGCGGTTGCGGTATTTCCGCGACGAGTGGCTTCGAGAAGGCCCTCCGTCTCGGGATTCCCAAGATCCGGGTAGTGGTACTGGTGCATGTAGGATTGCTGTCTTTCAAGGGGATAGCCTAAATGAGGATTAAAAAGAGGGATTTAAGTCAGTTAATCAAAAGTGGGTCTGTTGAAATCTACCCTCAGAACACAAACCTTTTTTGAAAGTCTTGTACATTCGTGTTGCACCACCTGCAGTATTAGCCGAACTAATGGGAACGTCTAGAGTTCTGACGGCGGTCAAAGATCTAGCCGATGGTTGAAGAGTTGTGGAAGACTTGGAAGCCACCGGCTGTGTAACCTCCTCCTCAATTCCACCAGCTGCATACGTAGCGTAAGGGTTTAGATTACCTATAGGCCAAAAGAAGCCAACCAATCAGATCACCTCGAACTTAGACCAAAAAGGATGCTTGGAAGGCTTTCACGTACCAGTGCTGTCCATGGAACTGGTCGACAAACGATCTGGTTCAATAGCAGCCGAAGGAGGGATGATCTGCGGGGGGAGAATGGTTCCTGCTCTGCCTTGATCGTAAAGTCGGGAGCTTCGACCCCAACGACTGAAAAAGAACGAAAATTTACTTCTACAGCGAAGGGAGAAACGCTTTTGGGGACAATCCAACAAGTTGAATTGCACATTCAGCCAAGAAAGGAACAAAAACAACTTTAAAGGCATGAACCTCACCCCAGAAACCCTCCTCCTGTCCTCACTTTTCCTTCTGCATGATAGTCAGCCTTGTCTTCATTAACCGGAATCGGTGGCAACGTTCCGCGATGTCTTCCACCAGCTGCAGTCTGAAAAACTGGATGCTGCATTTGTTGGATATGCTGTTGTTGCTGTTGAAAGTGTGGATGCCCCTCTGCAAGGTTAGCATTAAGAATCGGTCTCCCAACCGTCGGTTTTGCCGTGGGATTCAGTTCCGCCTCCAGTCGTCGATGTCGACAGTAGAAGAAGAGGCAAACGAGAGCGACAAAGAGCACAACAAAGAATATTGTCAGTGGAACGGTGATGGTAGGTTGGCTTAGAAAACTTGTCCGACCGAAACGAGTGCTGGCACCTTCCCGTGGTTGAACTAAGGGGAATACAAGAAGGAAAAATTGCAAGATATCAACTCCCCTAGTCGTCCTGCTATCCATTCATCAATTAGCCTACTCAACTATTCGATCAACCATCCAACCAGCAGTAAATACATCAATCAATTTAGTGACATACTTCCACCAACGGTTCGCGTCCAGAAGTATCCGAAATGCGGTGTCTTTCCAGCTGGATTCTCAGCCACGACGTGGTACTGATAGTACGAGCCAGGATGGAGACCACTCAAGTTGTAGCAACACCGTCGATTCCAGGGCTTATTGTCCAGACTGAAGAGATCGCGTTTTGTCAGAGTGAGGTTGAAATGGAGAACGGAAAAGGCGCCTGGCGTAGCGGAAGCAGTGGAGGCAGCGGAATTACCCCCAGAGGAAGATGAAGCTCCAGTGAGTAGAGAAGACGAGGAGGGATCAGCATCAGAACCGTCAGCAGCTGGCCAGACTCGAAATCGATAGACACTAGGAGAGCAGTTGCTACCGGGAGCAAAGACGGAAAAATTGAAGGTGGCGCAGTTTCGCGAACGCAATTCAGACGGTACCATGTCCGTTTCACCGACAAAGAGTGGAGCTGTAAAGAGGGTAGAAATGGAGAGTTCATGAGCGTTCGAAATTTGAACTAAAATCTGATAAATAGAAGGACGTTCGATGTCATTACTAGAGTCGTGACAAAACCTCGGGGAGAAAAGAAAAAGTTGGAATCTCATGGTGAAACTAATCGACTCAAACTTACCTGTAAAATCGAAAGTCCTGATCTGAATAAAACTTCATCATTACTAGAATGATGTGTCGTACAAAGGCATGCTACCGTCGAGATACCACTAGTAAATGTCAAGTATGACGTATTAACTTTTAATAGTTGGTGCACGTGATTGGTGCTCGGACCAGCTTACTCCAGTCACTGTTAATCAAGATGGCGTTGGCTAAGCTTTTCTTAATGAGCAACCTCTGTGAGGTAGTTCACAGAAGATGAGACGCAGTAACGGTCGATGGATTGGTGTCAACACTTCGAAGACGCCAACTAATCAGTCAGTTACGAATCTGGTCGTAGAGATTTCATCCCCAGCCCACAGAAGAGTAGCTAGTCGGTCCTGCAAACATTACACACGTGAGTGTAATACATGCCTGATCTAGGACGACGAAAAAAAATTCTGCTGCGGAAACGATGAAGCCAATGTAACCATTCACGAACACATAACTTCCAAAGGTTAAAGTCAAGCTTTCAAATCTAGAAAAAGATTGACACTCAAGGGACTTTCCAAAAAAAAAACTTTTAAATTACGCACCAGAGCCTTCGGTGCTAGCTGAAATTGGTTCTGTAAGAGCGCTCAGCCCAAACTGATTCTCAGCACGCATTTGAAATCGAACCGTTGTGGCACATGTCAAATTTGACAGGTAGTAGGTCCGCCGATCAGCTGGGAGTCGAACAGAGTCTTTCAGACCCGTGTACTCATTGGTCCAATCAAGGTGGAACCACGTAATCGGTGCGTCTGGCCGCCTAGAACCGGGAGAAAGCCATTCCACCTGGATGTTGCGAAGACTCGGTGTGAGTTTGTGGAACACCGGGGGTTTGGGTGGATCTGGATAGAGGATGAATGAGGTACCGTGTTAAAAGACATCCCCTTTCGTGGAATTCGTTGTGAAAATGTCGAATTCACAGCAAATTGAGGACACCATCAATCAAACCCAGCGTAAGCCAAGCTTATTTTACCACAACGGATTAGCACTAATCTGAAAGTCTTAATCCAAACATTGGAACAAATTGCCGAGCTCCCCATCAGTGGATAACCTCCTCACGAGTCTCAGCTCCCTCTCCTACAGTTCGCGCGACCCAGGAGTGGATGTTTGAGAAGCTTTTATGAGTACTTTACACTCCACCTGGTTCTACTCTTCAGAGGTAACCCTTGGGTACTACGCCACATGCTCGACTTCTTCGAGAGGACTGCTACCACAATTACTTCCACAGTACCCAAAGGGCTAACTCAATTACCTTGGCTCAAATAGTCACTTTCAAAGCCGAACCACAGCTTGGGATGGTTACGTTAAATCGATTACCGCTGTGCTTCCTCGGTGGTTTTAGAATTTTCCTCACTAGGTTTTCAGTTTAATTTCTCACTTATTTTGCAAGTCTTCCGAAAGTTGTGATGAAACGAAATTCTATTCGTAGTAATCATAAATCAATCAATGTCACGTACCGTTGGAAAGAGCTAAAAGGAACAAAGAGACAAAAGTAATATTCATCCGCATAGGAAAGCAGGATTTTGGGATAACAGACGAAACCAACCTTGGACCTTCAGCTCATAGGAGATGGAGTCATCCCCATGCCGGCAAACATATCGACCAGAGTGTCTTGTTTCAACAGATTCGATAATCAGTGTTCCATTGTCCAGCTGTTGCACATCACTGAAAAATGAAAAGACGACACTCTCCAATATGCCTAAGTAGTATTTGGGTAGAATTAATGATGATACACTCACTTGACCATTCCGAATGTCCATTCAACAGGGGGGTATCCAGCTACCAAACAATCCATCAGTACGCGCATCCTCTCTTGAGCCACAATTGTTCCACCAATAGAAATAATCGACACGGCAGCTAAAGGGACCGGAAAACCGAAAACTCGTGATTTCGTCTACTTGAATTCTCGTTATAGTAGCACAGAACATAACTTACAATGAGAAGCCGGAGCCACCGATGACACATAGGCTTTCCTTCCGTCAAACCGATTTTTCGCCATTACCGAGAAGTTGTACAGATACTGTGGACTCAGGTCTATTGTCAATAACAGCGACCCTGCTTACTACCGGTATAAGTAGCATCAAAGGCAAACCATTTAATTGGGCTTCAAAAATTATGGCAGTAATGCACTTTATGCATTATCATATGCTAAAGAGCTAACAAGTAGCATGTAGCTCACCGCAAAAGAGATAGTAGTTATAGGGTTTACTGAAATCCGGTTTAATACAACGAGGGCCAGCTGTAACACCAGAGCCAATGGTAGCGGTGGCAGTAGCAGAAGTGGCAGCAGAAGCACCGGCGGATCGATAAAGGCTGTCCTGTCTGTAAGCAGCTAGGCAGTAGAGACGAGTCAGACCCTGTGGACGGCTCGGGTGGGACCAGGAAACCATAACGCACGTCTCATTCACTGGTAACGCTTTTACGTTCTCTGTAAGCGTGAAAACAATAATATAGCGCTACTTCAGAAGACTTAAGTAAACTAAGCCGATAGAGAGACGCACCTGGTGCTTCTGGTGGTGCTTCTGTAGTAGAACAAATCTTTTTTGGGGAAAGAGGTCCACGGCCTTTACGATTGCTCGCTGCAACTTGGATTTCATAGCGGGTGTTTGCTAGAAGGCCAGCTAAGGTTACGGTGGTTTGACCTTTGACCACTTGGATAACTGAATTTGTCTCGTCTGTAGGGGCAAGGAGAGTTCGGATTGATTTGAAAAAGAAACAGAAAAAGACTGTTTAAAGAATTTCAGCCTAGGCCCAGAATCGCTAGCCGAACTATACAAGGATGAATCGGAGGTACAGTTTAAAATCTTCATACGAAGGCGGACAAGCAGGAGGACATAAGTATATGGACAAAAACGTCTCAAGTGTGATTCCGACTTTCAGAGGAATAAGAGGTTCCGGTTACACGGGAGGCAGCTGTAGGAGTAATTCTAAAAACTACAATTGCTTTTCTTCGAAGTTCGACTGCAACAGTTAAACTGTATCATAGATACTACTCAGGTGGTACTACGCGCCGTAATACGTGACAAGTTCGGCATTTTACCGATGGCTGGCGCATACGTCGTGGGCCAGTCCAAACAACCTTAATCAAGAGGGCAGGCAACAGCGGTGGTGTAGGGATCGAAGTGGTGCGCGTAAAATCCGCGAACATATAGTACATTACGATGGTGGGACTCTCAGGTGTTGGATGACATTTCTCGAAGACGATCGCGTGTCTGTAAATCGGTGACGATCCCAGCCGTGGGGATTCATTCTCATCCCTCCAGACCATAGAACGCCTGTTTGACCTTGGACGTCTGATGGGAAAATAACTTTTCGTCGTAAAACTACCCACGAGACAAGTCTTTCGGTGACAACGGTGAATATAGTTATTCACGAACATGGACATTTACAATCCGAAAAGTAAGTCCCGCGGTGGGCATCAAGACACCGATAGACGAAGTGAAGAGAACTATCCTCTGGGTACTGGTTAAAACCTAGCATAAATGAGACAGGGACTATGTCAAAAATCTAATGCAGGCTTCCATTCTTTTGTCAGCTCAGAGGTCAGGCTTCTACTTTTATGCCTTCATGGATGGAGAAAAGGTCAGCCTGACAAGATGATGATGGAAAACAAAAAGATCTAACCTCCAAAGCTGTTGGCAATGTAGTAATTGACGAGATACTCCGTCAAGATTCCATTCACAGTTTCAAAGTTGGGCGGATCCCAGGATACCGTAATGCTGTGCTGCTGTGTGGAACAAGTGACGTTTGTTGGTGATGCTTGAGGTACTAATACGGGAGGTAAAAGCAAGGAGAGAAGAGTAAGCAAATCGGATTTGACAGGATCCTTGCATATAAAAAGATAAATCAGTTTACCGCCTCCAACCCTTGATGGGAAAAGTATTGGACGCTATACGTCTATATATGGCAAAAGACCTACCAAAATGCGGCATCTTTCACAGAGTTACAAAAAGGTGGAAATGTAGTCCACTTAGTGAAGGCATCATCAGCTTGTTAAATAAAACGCCCTCTCTTTACAATACAGTCTACCTGCCAGAGGGGGCATGCTACATGGGGCACACCCTACCGCAATTCTTAAAAGCTGAACCGCTTCTAACACCACGTGGAATCGAAGGTCCCTTTGGTGCGATCCAAAGTCCTCATCATCGCAGCATCTTCGTAATTGAATGGGGTTTCAATAGGCCCACCGGACACCCCTGTTGTTGATGAGATGGCAGCGGTAAAAACCTTCCATCCAACCACCTTAACTTATCCCACTGACAAATTTCTTAATTTCAGGTATGCGATCGTTGTGAGGAAGTAAATTCAACCGTTTCATAGTGGGCAAGTCCATTCACCCCCCCCCCCCTTTACCCAAATTGATATGCATTCCAGAGGCAAAAAATTCCCACTGGACAATGAAAAATCAGGCCAGGTGGGAAGACAGTTCGATCCACCAACAGCCAAAAAGCTTACAATCCTCCAAGGTCCGCGCCAAGACGTAGGCAGGTGGCGATTGGCCCTTGCTGTTGATAGCGATGATGCGGATAGCGTAGGCGGTGAATTTGGGTAGGCCGGTCAACTCGGTGTCTTGTTGGCGATGCATCAGGACACAGTGGATTTGACTGGATCCACTCGAAACACTGAAATTGCAGATGATATTATCTAACTAATCTGCACATTATGGATTGATGAAGTTAAATATTAACAGATCCATGAATAAAAGAAACCATGGATGGACAGAAGGGTAGGTTGATAGGTCGATGGTTGAATGGATGTTACTCGGTAGAAGAATGTTGAAAGCTGGGATGATGGATGGACGGATGAGCAAAATCATCCATTTGATTCCAAAAAAAAGCATATTCCTCGCACTTCAACAAACCTTGAATCCTCCGTAATGAGATCCCTCGGCCACGATATCCGTGCTAGGTCGCTCTGACTGCTCCCCACGAGGCTCTCATTCACCCGCTGATGGCACACCGAGTATCGATCCACATTTCCGTTGCGCAGCTCCGGTTTCGGTTTCTGCCATGCTACGTAGATCGTATCCGAGGCCGTTCCAGTTGCATTCAAATGCTGCACTGGACCTTCCGGTTCTAACAAATACAAGAATGTGATGACCACGAGAGACAATGAATGAGCAATGTAGTCATTCAACAGCAGTTAGATGGATTCATCTTTGAATGAATACATCAGAGATGGATGGATAGATTCAGGGTGAATGGATGAATTTGCAATAGCAGAACAAATGAATTCAGAGAAGATTTAAAATGTCAAAGAAAAGAGGGTGGATTAATATGGAAATAGATGGATCCGGGAGGGTTGGACAGATCCAAAATTGATTAATGGCCGAATCGACGAATCTGCGATGAATGGGTGGGTGGATTCGGGCTGAGATATGCGGATCAAAGGTGGATAGGTCTGAGGTGAACAGATAGTTGGATACAAAGTGGTAGCATAGATGGATGGGAGAGTGAATGGATGGCCTCAGAAAATGATGAAGTGGACGATGAATTTGGGAGAAATACAGACGTACTTGCTTCCTGTGTGGTGAGGACAAGGGAGTTCTCCAGACTGTAACCGACCTCGTTCTCTGCCTTGATAGCAATGTTGTATTTAGTGTAGGGCCGCAAACCGGTCAATGTCGCCTGATGTTCATGGGGTCGCACTTCGATGACACTGTTCGGTTTCTGTCGAGGTGGTAGAAATAGAATAGCGCGTGGTTAGGTTAATTGGTAATGTTTTCTTTAAAAATCCCTCTCCTTGACCTAAAACACACAAATCCTTTCCCAGTCCATCCATCTCGGAGTTCGTTACCCTTTTTGGACACAATAATCTATTCCCAGGATCACCTGCCTATCCATCCCAAATCCTCCTCTTCTTTTCGTATCCATCCAACTTGAATTCATCTGTCTTTTGATCTTGGATCTATCCACCCATCTTTTTGTCCCGAAACCCTCTGTCGTTAAAGAATCGTGTCAGTTGGGTTGACAGATAAGCACTTCATTCAACAGGGAAACCCCAAAAATTCATTTGAATTGAAAATTAAGGATAAATTGATTGATTGCCCTCCACTGATCAACTCGATAGGAAATCCAAAATGTGGGTCCTTAAACAACAGAGAAAATTCTAAGCACATTTGAAAGCTTTCTACGTCAAGGATACACTTCTAAACAGTTACACTATTCCAAGTGTACGAGATGGAAGCCCATGAGTAAGGTGGGTCTGCGTTCAGGTACGCTTTAGTGAAGCAGAAAGCAGTCAGCGCATTCAAGTCAACAACTGGAGCATTGAAGACTTCTAGGAGTCATAAACTAAACAACGATCAAAGCCGTGCGCTTCGCAACACCGGGGGTAATTTGGGCGCTACATTGGTGACAGCCCTGTGAATACGACCGCTCTCGTTGACAGTTCAAAGGAGACTAGGGTTTAAACGGGTCAGCCGTACAATACTAATTCAAGATTGACGTCTACAATTGATGGGTTAATCTATGAAGAACTGCAACAGACGGTTCAAGCAAGTAGCATTAATCGGTGGGCATATGTAGTCAGACAGATAGAAAAAGCCAAGCAGACGGGTGGATAGTATGACTTCAGCAGTCGAAAAACCTACACTCTGTCCAGAAATTGACTCTCCGGCAGCTGAATCCGCTTGATAGTATCTGATCCAGTAACGTCGAATTTCCTTATTGCCATCATGAGCCGGTGGTAGCCAAGAGAAAGAAACACTAGTTGCTGTCGTCTGTGAGCTGTTCTGCACAAAGGTTACCGGGTCGGGAACGGCTGGAAGGATAGAAGGGGCGCATGGAAGAATGTAAAAAATGGAATAAATGTTTAAATTACACCGAGATTTTTACATTACTGCCCACCATGTTTCATTCCAACGCTTCCTCTCAATTGTTGCCGCACATTTCCCACTTCCGCAAATCTAGGCAGTTCAACAGGATGAGGCACCGGGCGCAGGCGCTTATTGGTTGATCAAGCCCTTTTCGAGCCGACATTTACACAATGAATACCCACCGAACACTTCAAATTCGGCCGTTCAGCGCTTACATCTCATCGATTGGCCTCGACACTTCAAAGATACCCACACCCACGTCTTAACGTTTATACATGACAACACTGATCCTAGTGGTCCTGTTCCCAATCCACATCACACCATCCACTCCTTTTTGTAAACACTCCACCAGCACATACAACACCAACATTATCCTTAACGCCTAATTGATAGCCAACCTTTTGCGTGACAATGAAATTGCATCTTTCTGCAGTTACCGTCATTGTAACACAGTCATTCGCGAATATAAACACTCGCTGTTTTAAGGTGACAACGGAGATATTTACCGAGACACTAAAGCATGTGGTGCATGAATAGCTCAGGCGTATTGCACCAGAGCTACTGGAAGGATATTAGCCAGAGACTCGAAAGCTCCTGTTTGACTTGAAAAAAAACCTACGAAAGTAAAGTCCCCATTTCTTCACCTTTTCACTTACAGATGACTGTGAGACGGACAACCTGACGCACATCTACTCTGCGGCCTTCCTTGTCGCGATTATAGAAGTTGGAGGCATTGCACATGTACTCCGCCATATGGACGTCTTTCAAGGAGTCGAACTGAAGTTGGCGTTCGATGCCGCGTCCACTTTGTTTTAGCATAGAGACCTGAAGGGAAGAGGGCAGGAATGGAGGAGGAATATATTAACGTATCAGCTAGTAGTTCTGAAACGACAACAAGATTTTAGATGGATGTATGGATCGATGGATGGATGGATGTATGGATACGGGATCAGTGGATGGTGAATTGATACCTGATGTTTAAAAATAATATAAATGGACAATCTAGTAACTGACAAGGAAGCAGCCCTCCTCCCGTACCACTCAGTCTATCCGATTCGGGTAGCAGCTGTACCCACCTGTCTAAAAATCACGCCACTATCAAACCTCCCAGCCGCACTTTTCTGACAAGTCAACAGGTCGCTTGCGAGGACATCAGGAGAAGATGAGGCCAGAGCCAAAGCAGCATTCTCTGCATCTCCGTAACTGGCTGGAAGCACACAGGTCTGATTGATCAGCCGCCATTGGCTGTTGCCACCGTCGCCAACGCTGATTGACCGATAATACCAATCTGCTTGCAACTCATTGGCGTCGCCATGCACTACGCAGGTGAGGTTGAACTTGGAACCGCGAACTGCGTCAACGTCCTTAAGGGGCTCAATTCGTGCAGGAACTAAAGAAGGCAGTAGGATTGGTGGAGCCTACACGAGGGTTTCAATCCCTGCACATTACTCTCTTTGATGGTCCCCGTTCATCTCTGCCTGTATATATATCGCCCTATCTTCATACCTAATCCCTCTGTAAACTTTTGAAAGTTGAATATTTTCGCAACAATAGCATTCATGACTAGAACGTCTTCAGCCCTCGAAAGTCAGATTATAGAAGATGTGATTAGAAGTTCTGGAATTCGTCTACTAACTTCCGTCCTCATGATTCGAATAGAACACCCTTTATCAACAGGACAGTCACTAAGTCAACTCCTTAGGGTGCGTCTGCCTATCAATCTATCAAATGATAAAGACATCCAGGAAAAGATTTAGTAGTCCATTGGGTGCTAGATTCGTTCAAGGCATTGCAAAGTGTTACACGTAGACACTCTTACTGCTTCAATCGGCATCTCTTCATTACTATCAGTTGATGATTTTGATGTACTTAAGCCGTTCCATAGTTCCTTCCTTTTCGATTTGACTAGGCACCTCACTTTCCACACATTTCTTGAAGACAAAGATCAGCCTAGGTTCTTCTCAACTTTTAATAAATGAAATCGACGTCAAAATACCACAAATCCTATTGATACCCCACTAAGCCACTTTAATGGCCAAATAAGTAGCATACCGTGGATTTCCAGATTGACAGCTACACTGATTGGTGTAGCAGTGGTCGATTCTTTTGGTGTGAGGAAGCACAAAAATTTCCTAGGATCCGATTCTTCAACTTGTGAAATCACCAACGTTCCGTTCGACTCCTGATAGATCCGACCCTCTGTTCTTTCCGTCAGGCTGCCTAGTTCTTTAAAATCTCCAGTACCTGGGTGAAAAATATGCGGATGAAGAGCTAAAACGAACAAAAAACGCTGGAAAAGGTCGAATCTAGACACTCGCTTTCATCTGAGTACTTCCACACAATCATTGGAGTAAGTTCTGACGGCTTAGCTGTGCAATTGATGGAGATGTTTTGTGCTAGAGTCACATCCTGCTTATTTGGCGGCCGAATTTCAAATTCTAATTCGGCTGAAAGAAAAGAAAAACAATTCACTGGTATGCTCGATGCCTTCTGACGGCGAGGGTCAGATAGCACTTACGTATGAAAGTCACTCGAATAGGTCGTTCATCATAGCCCACTTCGTTCACAATCTTGCATGTCAGTATTCCTTGATGCTGTCGCTTATTCAATTGTTCAATTCTCACATGCACCACAGAATTTGGTCTTGCGTGCACAAACTGAGGTAGCTGACGTCGCAGACCCTCAGAGAGCGGCCTACGCTCTGTCTGATGCAAATCTGCTGCGTACTAGAGGGAAAGAGGGAGAAGTTAGAAGTCGAATGTGAGAAAGCCTACCGAGACCTGAAAGGCACCAGGATTCAACGGAGCATCGGGTGGAAGATCGATGACTTCGTCAGAGCCTTCAAGTTGAAAACGCCACCATGCATACCAGGGCTTATCAGCATGATTTTGCGTGGCGCAGCTGTATGTCAGACTCTGGCGTCCCCCTTGAACACGTTGAACCTCAGGCAGGTCTTGAATTCGTGGAGCACCTAAAAGGATGTAATCCCTGACTTCATACGCTGATGAACCTACGTGAAACCTTGAGTGTAATGGTGATATTATCAGTCATATCGCCATGCACTGCAGTGCATCGATAGTCCGCCTCGTCCTGCTCCTTATTCACCTCAGTGATTCGAAGAACTCGAGCATTTTCTAGTAGGGCGTGACGGTGATCAACCGGAATCCGCTCGATCCGTTGGCCGTTCTTAATCCTGTGCCATTGGAGCTTAAAACAAAAAGGTGGGAAAAAAGTTGGGTGCATTCGAGCGATAGAATCACTTCATTGGCAGAAGATCAACTGTGGGGGAAAATCATGGCGTCACATGGAAGCATGCCCACGCAATGACGCTTCAAAAATTCAGTTAGGTGATCCATTTGTTAATCCATTAGTGATACTATTTTGCCAAATTTTTAGCAAGCAAAGAAAAAAAATATAAAACACGCACTTTGGGTATGCCACTTCCGATAAAGTAGCATTTCAAGTCATGGAACCGTCCAGCAATGGCCGGTTTGCTGGAATCCACGGGACGAAGACGCAAAGGCGTGTCCAACAGAAGGAAAGTCCGGCAGTCAGCGGAGCCAAGAGAGTTGTTCGCGACTGCCCGATACTCACCACCATATTGCCACAATTCATCCCATGGTGGGACCTTTTCAAGAAGTGATGGTAGAAAAGGAAAGAATGATGGTTCAATCAAACATTTACATCCCCAGATATCGCAGATTATTTCAATGTACTTGTCAAATCATGCAGATTGTGGCGTCATCTTCACGGACAGTGGGACAAAACACAAGACTGGATAGGTTAGAGGCGGATGGGTATTTGATAAAATTCAGGATGAATTGATGAATGAATGGATAGAGTCGTGATCGATGGATTAAGAATGAATTAGTAGTTAGAATGGACGACTGGATCCGGGGTCGATACCCAGACAAACGATTTTATTCATGATGCAGGGATCAAGGATAGACAGGTGGATAAAAAGGTAACTAAATTAGCACATCTGGGACAGGAAGATGGATGAGGCATGAATCAATAGATGAATGGAAGACTTATGGAATCTTTAGAGAGATGGCACTTTTCCATCACTTTAAGCACACCTGGTTCAAATCGATCCTCAGCCGCGTAATTAGCGAGTAGGGTCGATGCGCGTCCTTAACCACCTCCGAGACCACCACGCCTTTGTCATCAGCCATCTCCACTTCGTGACTCAGTGGCAGATCATCTCGGAACCATCGAATTGTTGGCAGCGGATTGGCGGCAAAACGACACTCCAGTGTGGCATTCAAATCGCCTCGTGACTTGGATAGAAGAATCTGCGATGTCGCCGTGAACGCCTCGGCAGTTTCGGATGACTGAAAGACCCGCATTGGCTTCATTTCTGTGAGGGGACAAAAAGAATCCAAAAAAAGACAACTGTTAATTCCATTCCCTTGTATTTCCTCTATAACCTTGCCAGCACCAAGCAGTTAGTCCCTGGGATACCTGAGCTGCGCCTTCGTTGATAGCCTTCTCACCGACTCTAAACGTAGAGGAGCTAGAAGAACAATGTTATCATTAGAAATTCCATCAGACTATACACCAGATTTCCGCCCCTACAAATTAGTAAAATCTTAAGTCTTCTAAGTGTAACGCAACTTCATCATCACACCACATCATCGCTGTTTACGTCTCGAGGATGGATTGGCGGACGATCTCGATACATCTGCCAACACTACTACTATTATACGTTGAGGCGGCCAATGGAGTGCAGAAGTGCAGTGCCTAAGGTTGTGGTAAAAAGGAGAGAGATAATGAGAGCTAGTATAAAACGTTACGACATCCATAACAGTTGTGTGAATGGCCCCGATTTTGGTCCCTTTATCCACTTTACTATGAGGACGCTAAGTTTGCACTTCTATGTCATACAAATAACGGATAGCTTCAAAGAACACTACTTTGCGTCTGCAATACAGGAGTTGATTTTGTGAAATAAAAGCAATCTAAAAAGAAAAGGCATTCTAGATTTTAAACCTACTGAAATTTAAATAAGTAGCAAGTATGCATTACTCACTGCCCATAACTAAGTGTGAGGTGTCCTGCGCATTATCCACCAAGTCCCCCACTGACACTCTCCCCTCTTCCATCTTCTCTGTCGCCATTGGCACCTTAGTGACAGCTGTCGTCGCGGCAACGATCAAAGAAGACGAGGTCGAAGCAGCAGAAGACGACGATGATCCACGATTTGTTTTCGCGGTCGGTGTGGTCGCGTCGTCAGCCAGAGTGCTCTCCGCAACACACTGATAAACTCCCGCGTCTTCCAAACTGAAGGAATTGATTACGAGCCGTTCTCGCACCGTCTGAACGCCGCTAGTTTCGCGACGTTGAACGCTGTGACGACTGGAAGAGGACGAGGAGGAGGAAGAAGAAGAAGAGGAGGAGGAGGGACTGGACGTCAGTTTGAGAGGTTTAGCATTGTGTAGCCAGTAAATTATTTGATGTGGATAGCCGGAAACAAGGCACTCTAGCTCCACACGGGTACCAAAATCGCAGACCCTTTCATGAGGTGTGACACGAACATCAATTGGAGCTAAAAGAAGGATGATTCCAATCACAACCCGAATACAATCTCGATTAGGAAGGATAATAAGATTTGTAAGGGATTTAGTCAGCCCCTTTGTCCTTCCTGTATGCGTTGATAAAAAATACTCCCAGAGTCCTACGTCTTTCAACACCTTCAAGAGGCAACTTGAGTGGTAGATTGACGGTATTGCGCTGACATACCTGACATCCATTATCATCATGAGAAAAACGCGACCGCTTTCTTCAATAGTGCAAGGAAGGGTGTTTCCAGTAAGCAATTAAATCTACGTAGACTACTTTTGTCAATCTCGTGTTTTATAAGAAGGTAATTAAACAGCCGAAGTCATATGGACTTGGACGATTGGAAAATATTTACCTTAGACTGATTACGGTACTTGTGTGAGGGTACTTGAATCATACGAACAGGCTATTTCTTCACTGCATCTCCCGTAGTCGAATAGAAGTCAGATTAACTGGCACAGAGCGTTGGAAAGAGAACAGTGAGAGAAGAGGGAAAGATACTGAATATTAACGCCGTGAGGCGATTTTAAGCTCTGCCTTTAGGTAAGTGCTTCTAAAAATAGCGACTGACATAGGACATGCAGACTGTGAAAAGGGTAGTGGCGTTTAGCCTCGAGCATTTCAGAGCCCATGAATTTCTCTGCCCCATTGCAAGTTACAACCAAAACGAAGTTTCAAACACCATCGATTATTGACATTGCGATCAAAAGTTCTCTTCCCTCCATAAAAATTTAAAGTCAATCTACTCTGCCTGGCTGGTGCGGTTCTCAAAGCACCAACGATGTTGCGCTGACCGAAGTATAAGGGGTGCTGAGAGGGGCGTTGGAGGTGACGATCAGAAGAAAATGTAGATGCATAGTAATTTGATATCTGCTTTACTGTACACCTAATTACACAGGCTTCTCAATCTCCGCGACAGCGCTTTTGTTTCGACATCATCTCCAGAATGCCCTCAGCCCTCCCCTCCCGGGCAACAGTGAATTTTCTTTCATATTTGTAGGACGGATTACAATTTTGAAGATCTGAAAGGTTACCATGGCAATGAAATGGGAGAGAAGGGTAATGGAGACGAAACTGCGGATTTACTAGGGGAAAAGTGGTAAGTACCACAGGAAATACACTAACTATGGAACACCGTCCAAAACCTCCGTGATATTATTTGAAAACACAGAACATGACATAATGAGGGAGTGGACTAGGAAGTGGATGTGAGCGATCGAATTTCTTAATGCGTAGGGTCAAAGGAAGGTGAATGGATTCGTGCAGCCCATTGAATGTGATACATCAAATCCTCCGCAAATACTTCTTATCAACAGAGAGTATGTCAGAACACAATGGAACACAACGCCACGACCAAGTTCTGAAGTCTCTTCAAAGCGATGGAAAATGATTTTACTATGCTGCTGTGATGGTCGACGCAGCCAAGTAAATCCAGATGGGCACCGATGATGATACTCGAAACACGACAGAAATGACGTTAACTTTTAGCCCTTGGCAATTAGGTCTGAACGACGGTGGCACAGACACTCACTCTCTTCGTCTACGTATTCAGGCTGCTTCCAAGCTCGTACCTTAAAACCAATTCGTGAGTAACCCGTACTCCACAATTCACTTGCTACTTATGCGTCGTTTATAAGCAGACCTGATTGGTTACATCAGACGAAGTGCCAGATTTCCTCGAGAGAAAAGTGTGAATACTTTAGTCAACCAACTCACCACGAATCTTAAGGGTATACACCACCGCCGGCAATCTAGCTGGATAGGGAGCTTCGCAGGAATACTGACCAGCGTCGTCTATAGAGACGTTGATGAGACGAAGATTTCCATAGGCCCCCTGGACGAACTCGACCCGTGAACCCCAGGGTCGTGTTAAGACGGCTTTTTCCTCGATCGAAACTGATGGACTAAGTGGAACCCTCCCCTGACTTGAAGATGGAGAGGTCGGTTGCCAGTACCATTGGACTCGAAGACTCTGATAGCTCTCAACGACCCAGGGAAGTTCCACCGTGGAACCCTACAATGAAATGGATGGGTGATAATGGCATGTAGAAGGAGTACAGATAACGGTAGGGTTTTGTGACCACCGTATTCAACTAAGAGAAACCCGTCTATTCTTGATCTATGAAGCAGAAGATTTCCACTGTAGAGCATAGAAATTGATAAGTGGAAGAAGTTAGGACTTTCCCGATCCCGGTGGCCCCTTTTTAATGGACCTGTGCGCAAATCGAGCGCTAGATCGACTCCTTAATGTCCTTTTCAACAGGCACAAATGGATGCATCCGAAAGGATTGATAAGGAAATAAATAAGTGGGTGAGCAGATGTATGGATCTGAGGTAAATGAATGGAATAGAAATAGCCTCAGAATGATTGTTTCATGAGTCGTGGGTGTAGAAACCACTGGAACGCCCAATCAACTCTGCCTGCCCAAAGGCAGTTAATGAACAACAGAGTACCTACCACAATCACATCCACATCCGTGCTTTGACTGCGAACCTCCTCGTATGGAAAGAAGAACCCGAATGGCTGCAAATGACCCGTTTCCTGTCTTCGAATCTCCCGACTCTCGTCCACGATCGACTGCAACACGCACCGCACCTGCAGATCGGACAGATCTGCCTCCGTCACATCTCGAATGTGCAATTCTGGATAGCGGGTAGCGTTAATCACAGAGTAGCGATCTTCTACACGGGGAAAAAAGGCCGTAAAGAACAAATCAGACTAAGGACTGCCTTTCCACACTCATTCTGCACACGATTGTGTGATTGTCCAAAAACAAGAAAAAGTAGAAAATCAGGTAGTAATATAGAGGATGAAGAACGAGGCAGTATCTCCCTCCTTCCCATTTGAAAGTGCGCATTCTTTCACACCTAAGTTATGCATTGCCCTGATTGACCAGTCCTGTCCGCTTCTAAAGGAGAGGTTTGTTTTGACCACCTTCAAGGTATGTTGAGATCGTCTTAAAGGCTTGATCTCCAGAGGGAACCCATCGCGAACGATTCGTCTGGGACTCGCCACACACACATACACACACACACATACACACACACACATACATACACACACACATACATACACACACACACATACATACATACACACACATACACATACACACACACATACACACACACACATACACATACACACACATACACATACACACACACACATATATACATACATACACATACACCACAAGCCGAAAAATGATTGGATTCAGTAAAGAAAGGGAGTAGACTGACTTGCGCTGGACGAGGTTCTGCTCGATGACACGGCACTCCTGGGGGGTGAATCGCTGGTCCTCCTCCAACGCTGCGAGGATGTGCTCTGGCGTCGACATCATACCGACATGAAGGTGCCAAGCGAAGGCGCGTGTCAACTGCTGCTCCTCCATAGCCTCCCGCATGCTCGTCGTTGCCAGTACCAACATCTTCCGACCCTAGCAATCGCAACAATAACCCAGAGAGGTAACATTTGTTCTAACTGGCTGCGCGATCCTTTTTGGACTCACGCTGATGATGGGGTGGAGTTGTGTACAGCTAGTCCTTCCATAGTTTGATGACAAACCAACTTCTAGATCCGTACAGCATGTATTGGACTTGACCACGCTGATATGCTTTGCAGCGCCTTCAGAAAATAACTCAACCGCCGGACTAGTGGCGACAACAGGCAAGCTTACTCCAAAAGAACAACAATAAATCCGATTCCCGTTATTGCTTGGAGTTTCTAGGGGTTTTCCTTTTTAGGGCTAATTCTCTAACACTGAAATGTCGCGCTCTCGTCCACGTCTTCCTCATTGGGTAACTGCATGCAGAGATGCACGTTAAGTGCGCTAATGCTCACTATGAGGTCAAGGTCAATAAGTGGGAGTAAAACTGCTCCGAGTAAGCCTTGACGAAGAGCAAATTTACAAATATAATAATATGACAGATTCCGCGTAACCTCAATAACAGGGGAAATCGCACGAGCATCTCAGAGAAGTAAGCACGCCTTACCGTTGGCAGGGGCTGCGAGACAAGATCTTTGAGGGCCTGCACCATGTAGTTGGAGAAGCGCGGCCCCACGGGGTTGTACTCAATGAGACCCTCGATGTTGTCCACAATCACCACGCTCATTGGTGATTTGACTGCATCGTCAAAGATCTAAAGAAGTGAGAGTAAAAGACAACGGTTGACACAGCGAGCTGCAAAAAATTGTTGGCACTGATTCACCGAGCTGACGGAGAGAAAGTTCAAGAGATCGATCAACCTTCATTTAGACAAGCCAAAACCCTCACATAACAACACCAACAGATGACGAAGTGGGATTGTCAATAAATCAAAGCATCAAACCAGTAATTAGAAGCTGTAGAACATATTCAGATAGATATATGGTTGGAGAGCACTGAAGTGAAAAAGTGACAAGGAGGAACAGACGCAAAACCCTACCCCCACAGAACTACGTAAAAAATACATATTCTGTCCGAGTACTGTTTTCCGTCGTCTTCAGGGAAGTCTGGAGATGCCACAATAGATCAACCTACCTCTACAAGGCATTAAAAATGGGAAGATGGATTCTTAGCCCCTATCATCTAAACTTACTGCAGGAAGTTCCCCCCACACCCGTCAGACTTAAGATCCAGGTGGATCTCACTACATTCCTCGGATTACTCTCTTTTTCACAGAACCAGTTCAAATACGAAATCAAGTAAGCAACGTAGATTTTCCGTCAACAATTGACCTATGGCAGAGTAGGGAGCGCGTAATCAAAAAAAATTTGCAAAAGCCATAAAAGGCGAGAATTTTACTCCCGAAATAATATTAAGAATGAAAAATTTGCTTGAATAAGGGAGACGAAATGAAGGTCACGATATCGAACTTAAAGTGCGAATAAACCAATGACCACTTAACCAACCAAAGGATTTTAATATGGGACAAAATACGGCCTTCATTTTGCCCTCATTCCGTTTACGCAACAAGAAGTGGCAGACGGGAGGTATTTTGCCAAGTCAAAATGGTACGGCTGTAAAGCATACCTTACGCTTAGAGAGTGTAACAGAGTGAGCATTGTGGTCTCCGAGAGTCTTCAATCATTCATCACACTTGATAATTAACAGAAGCTACTTTTCTACGCCTCCGTTCACTCCACCACAAGCATCTCATATGTTGAAAATATGATGTCAAAATAACTCTTGCGTGATCGTTTGTAAACAGTGTTTGGTACTGACTCAAGCTATGATATTTCACCTTGACAGTTCTACGCTTTTTCCATCAAGAAAGGCGGTATACTTCCGCAGCAGCGAAAATGATAGAACTGAGACAAATAATAAAATCATGTACTACTTTAGTTATTTGTTCAACTCTTTCTTTTAATAACGGGTACCTAAAGAGCTCCGCCATTATGCCCCCACTCCCGGGCTGTCTGGCCTCCGGGCCATAACTGTAGCCCCCGTAGCCCTTCTACAAGTCGACAATACATATTCCGTCCGAGTATTATGCCTCCCTTCGTCTTCAGGGAAGTCTCGGATTGCTACATTGGTGGCAGTGGAAAGGACATCCATCTTGATTTCAACTGCTGGATGATGAAACTTAGCATGATGAAAGAAGTGCATATACTGAGGATGAGAGAAGGTGCAGTGACCTCAAACAGAGGATCCGAAAATGTCGTCTACCTTCAACAACTGCTATTAACGAATGGAGCGGCATTAGTCACAAACCATCTGGAAAAGTTCGCCACGGAGCTACGCTACCTACATGAAGATGTCAATTAGGAGAACAGGTGATACCACATTCACCTCTCTACCAGCTTAGTAGAATCCAGGTAGGTATGGTTAGGCAGCTGTGAAGTGCGATTACTAGGTAAATAAGCAACGTTCAAATCATTTGAGCTGACATTAGGCCAAAGTTCTCAGCTATTTCAACTGCATACGTGGATGGTGACTACCATCGTCTGGGAATTCACTTCAGAGATAACTAGATGAATTTATGAATACGAGAAAAAGTTGTGCTGATATTTTCGACCGCAAATGTAAGCGAGATGTTTGAGTTAGATCTATAAACCCAATCCATGGGGCAGATAATTGCGAACTTAATTCTAAGTAAGAGATCGGAGATGCAAAGAAAACAGCTGGACAGGTCTCAATGCATGAATTGAATGCATACCAGAAGAGGAATTGCCAATAAAAATTCAATGGAATGAAGCTAATTGACGAGGGAAGAGATAGTCCATGGGCGCTAATAGACAGAAACAAACTTACGGTAAATCCAATAACGAGGGACAACTATGCATTGAAGTAACAGACATTCGATCTTAATAAAAGATCCGACAAACGACTTCCTCCTACTCACTAATCCTCAAGGCTTCATGGCCATGGCAAAAGTGTTATCAGTGGTTTAACCCACCTCCCTTGATTTGAAATGAAACGTGCGCTGTTTAATGAATAAACGTAAGGGGAAGAACAGCAGAAACCGTGACACGCAAATGCTCAGGAAGTCACATTTGTCAGATCCATTGCAAGGAGTGGGAGGAGGGAGAGGAAGGCATGCAGTGCATGATTGGCCGAGGGAGAAATTGATTCTTGATCTCACAGTAGTGCGCGTCCGTGCGTGCGACCGCTAAAAGGCATTTCGGGGAATGCAAACGCAACTGCCACCGTCACTGCAACCATCTCACATACATACAAACACATGCTAGCGAGGAAAAGTTACAATATGAAAGTAAGCCATCAAAACACTGCCAATCATCGAGTATGCTAGAAATGCGTCATGAGGTTGGGAAAATAAAACTCACAACTTTAGTGGTAAATGTCATATGTTAATTGTTTGTTTAACTCTCAGTTTTGGTAATGGGTGACCGAGGGGCTCCGCCAATGTATCTCGGCCAAGCCGCCTGACCTCCAGGTTATGCCCGTAGTCTCAATTTCTTCCGTTAGATGACAATGCATATTCTGCCCGAGCATTATCTTATTTCGTCGTTAGGGAAGTCATGGAGCCCTGCATTTATGGCAGAAATCTTAAAAGACAACTATCCTGATATCAGCTGCTGAGTGATAAACGTCAGCGTGGCGAAAGAAGTGCATAAGCTTCGGATGAAGGCATATGTGACGACCTCTAACAAAAGGGCTAAAAATGTTGTCTACCTTCTGCAACTACCCCAGTTTCATGGTCTGCAGAAAAGTCGTTAACAACTGAAGTAGCGCTATGACTGTGAACCATCTGGTAAAGTTCGGTACGCAAGTGTATGCACTTCCTATAGGAAAATGTCAATGAAGTTAACACACCATATCCCCCGCTCACCTCTACACTAGCTGAAGAGAATAACTGCAGCTATGGCTGGGCTGCACTAGAGTGAGGAAAAAGTGGCAAGAGGAAATGGACGCAAAACATCATTCCCACTGAACTATGTTAAAGCCCATCCTATGTTACACGGCTCGGCATTTATGTCAGAAATTCTACCACTATCGATGGAAAGCCCATCGTCCTCGCCTTACAACCCGGTTCCCATACAGGACGAAACTGGAGATTCTGCAGAGTTGCCAAGAGGGATCAGTGACATTGCGGTCAGGTACCTTCTCACGTGCATAGAACTTCGATGACTGGTACGGCCGGCTCGTGGGTGCTTGTCTTACAGCACCGATTACTTTGGAATGGTTGATGCGGGAGGCTGAGGGAAGGTAGAGTTGGGGACGACGCTCAAAAGAGAAGAGGGGCTATGCAACAGGCTGAGAGTTTGTTTGGGTCTTAGTTTTGGTAAAGGGGCCACTTAGGAGATCCGCTATTCAGCCTCTGTAGGGTGACCTGGCCTTCGGTTTGTGCCAGTAGCCCCAAGCCCTTCTGTATGTCGACAATACAAACTCTCTCCAGGTATTATTTCTTCTTTCGTCTTCATGGAAGTCACAGGGCGTTACATAGCAACCTTCAAACGGGATGCAGATCGCACCACATTTTTGCAAATATAAGCACAAAACTTTTGAGAAAAACAGTTCAGCAAAAGGTATACCTAAAAATCAACTGCTTTTAAGTCAATTAAAGGAAAAGGTAAAGTTGCACATTAAATTAATGAGAAACCTCGATCAGGAAAGAAAAAAAACTTGAATTGAAGAGTAAATGTCAGAAGTCATCAAGCATGCGAGGCGAAAGGCAAAGTTAGTGTGCCAAAGGTCGCACGTTTCACTTGTACCTAGACGTAAGGAGAGATTATATACTCAATAGCAATCCTATTGAAATAACAAATCTTGCCAATCCAATAAAAGTTACTACTGCCACAGTCTACTTGCAGGTTTGAAATAAAGACGACTAGTCGTAGTTGCCTTGAAAAGGCTTCGCTGCATGAAATAAGTTGCTGCTAAGCGTCAAAAACACGCAATCGCCGTAAATCGTTCCAATGGTCAGACTGAGAAGTGTTTCAAGAAATTTTTCAAAAAATAACTAAGAATTAAGACACAGCAGTCTAAAATACCTTCATTTTGGCTCGATAATAACAGTAAATGTTTTCAGAAGCAGCATCAAGAGGACACGGAAAAGTAAGTTCACATGGGGATGATGACCACAAAATATTGCAAACATCTTGGAGTGAGGAACTTTAAATCTCCAAGGCACAATTAAAAGTGGCATTGAGATGGAAAAGATAGAGTACTTCGAGAGAAGTACTTGACACGAGAGGTCTAAAAAGGCATTAAGAAACAACCACTCGCCTTTTTGATGGCCATACACTTAGCAGTCTCCGTGTAACCGATCATCCTGTGAGAGGTGACTATCTTAACGAAAGGGAAACCAGAGCGACGCGCAATCTCCACCGCGAGGGCGGTTTTACCCGCCTTTGGCGCTCCCTCTAGTAGCAATGTGATCGGCCGATGAGTTTCGGGCGCTGAAGTCCCACCGCCACCAATCCCACTGCCGCCTGCTGCACGCACCGCCAAATCGCCCATGGAAAGAGCACGCGTCACTGGCTCGCCCCAGTTCATGAGACCGCGCGGCGCGTAGTACGCCAACTCCTCTTCCGCTGTGCCAAACATCTAAAGACAGTCAATACAAATTAAAAGTCAAAGGATACGTGTGTGTCGGCAACAGTCCACATTTTGACATTTGGATGACTAATAAATTAGCATCAGCAGAAATGCATAAGAACCCACCGGTTTGATGTCGTTCTCAAGGGCGTACATAAAATCGGAGCGCTTGATGAGGAGCTTCTCAAAGGCATCTGGATCGATCTTCTCCTTGCCAGAGGGCTGCAAGACAAAGTGTAATGCCTTGAGGATAATCATTCAGTCAACTTAGCCAATAACATATCATCTATTATGGGCCTCCAGCTAATAAAAACACTTTAGGGGAGATGAAATGAACAAGAACATGATTAGCATAAGTTAACAGGCGGGATCATTGATAACATCAACAGCATGTCAAGTAGTGTGTGCGTGTGAATGAGCGCACCTACTCCATTGCAAGAGCAGAATGCATTCAAATGAGTACGCATTTTAAAACACTTCAATAGTCCTTTTCACCTTTTCTTAGAGTTAAATTAAAGCCAACATGGCTTTAGATTGTAAACCATTAGCAACTGCAAGGAAAATTAATATCAGCTTGAAAAAAAACTGACTTTTAAAAACAGTCATGAAGAGAGAGAAAGGGAGACAGGAAGTGGTAACGCCCAAAGCATCGTAATTTCCATGGAAACGTCCAAACGTATTGTGAAATAGGCTTTAAAAAAGGGGGTCATTGGAAAACCTGTCAAACAACTCTACGTAACTGGAGACTACTAAACTGGTTTAAAAAATATATGCGTTAGGGGCCACTTCATCAGTCTTGGAATAGTCAAGCAAACTATCAGCAACAAAACCCTCAATTCACCAAAAGACATATTTGAAATGAGTTCACAAGGGTAAGCAATTCATAATTTTAATTACCTTCACAAATTGGTACATAGCGGTGAAGGCGGCAGCCCGGCAGAGGCCCTCAATTTCTGCGCCGCTAAAGTTCTTCGTTCGGGCTGCCAGCTCCTTCAAATTAACATCGGAACTAAGTTTCTTTGAGGCAGCCATTTTGGCCGTGTGAATCTTGAGAATCTGTAGACGACCTTCCTCATCCGGCAGCGAGATCTCCAGCTGTATCTGTACTTAAAAAAAATGCAGTCAGTAACACAAATTTCAGTTGTTCAAAAGATCCCCTTAGTATTGTTACATGCCTCAAGACGACCAGGTCGAAGGAGGGCCTCGTCAATCATATCGCGTCGATTTGTCATACCGATAACGAGGATGTTGTTAAGCTGATCCACACCATCCAGCTTGGTGAGTAGTTGATTCACCACTGTATCGTGAACTCCTGCACCCGAGACCTGAACAGAGTAAAACAGCGAAACGATGACTTACGGGGGTACCTAATTGTGGTCTTGTTAGCAGCAATAACACGATCAACATTTGGGCAAGCGTTCGTCTTCTGCAAATCACTATGGTAGCCTCAAGTTTAGCACAAACGTTCATCATGACCCGCCATCTACAGTTATTCTGATTGCATTCACAAATTCGACAAAATATTCCGGAGTACATCGTCCACCGAGAACGCTTTTCCCTCGGTAAAATAAAGTTTTAAAGGCTCCATGCAACCGAATAAGTTTATATTTGACTCTACAACTCCAGCTATTACGCTATGCTGCTAGTCTTCCAACCGATGTGACCGGATGATAAGGCTATCTCCAGACTCATAAGCACCATAACATCTTTGGAGAGAGATGAAACCATACAAAAATAGCGGATGGTGACTCACAACAGAGCCTCTGGTCTTGCAGATAGCGTCAATCTCATCAAAGATGATGATGTGGAGAGCGGAGTGGGGTCCCAGTCGCTTCTCCTCCTCCTCAGCATCCGCAAAGAGTTTTCGGATATTGGCTTCCGACTCTCCGACGTACTTATCGAGGATGGACGGTCCATTAACGATCTTGGGCTCCCGTGCGTTCAACATCTTCCCGATTTGTCGCGCCATCAGCGTCTTGCCCGTGCCCGGTGGGCCGTAGAGCAGAATGCCTCGCACGTGTTTCATGCCTTAAAAGACAGGTTCTGGTAATAAGTTCATGAGCCAGTAGCATCCATTTAAGGGTTATAGCCACGTAGAATTTGGGATCTAGAAGTTAAACTCGGATTCCTTTAAGAAGGCAATTACCTAACTGTATCGTTCGCTGGATCTTGCATCAATTTAATTATGCCGCCTACAGGTTACAAAAAACACTTATCGTCAATGCATCAATTTTCGCAATTCCTACAATCTCCACATATACTTCAACAAACTGCTGCACTACTTCTTGGTTGAAAGTCAACAAAACAAACGATAGCCACGTCAGATTAGGCTTATTAACTGTTGAAATGAAGAGTCACCAGCTAAGTAGCCACTAACCGAGTTGTTGAGATACCTCAGGTGGGAACATGCGGGAGGCGAAAGTGCGGCGGAAGATTTCTGAGAACTCCTTGTCCAAACCGCCGATGCCCATTTGAGCAAAGTCCCAATTGGGGTTGATGATGCTCATGGTACCACCGGCACCACCACCGTCACCGTGCATTGCCTTGCCGATGAAGAGAAGGGTACAGTCGGGCGCACGCTCCCACGTAACTATCGTATTACCCGTCAGCAGACCAAACTGACACTTCTTGTCCCCCTCCTTCAGAGAGATTGCTGCAAGACCAGAAAGTACCGAGGTTGTTAGAACTACTAATTGCCCATTCAGGAATAACTGTAAAGAAATCAGTCTACAACCCTCACTAAGCAAAGGGTCTTGTTATAATTTCTCCAAGTAAGTTCAATGATGTCCGATAATTTAGTTATATGTATAAGATATCCCATAATCTGGGTACGAGTCATGTCTTTTCCAGAAGATTCAGCAAGCAGTTACTAACATTAGGAATTGGCTAAAAAAAAGCAGTGAAATTCAAAATTTAAGGAGACGTCAAAGATTACAGCAAAAAATAAGTTAGTATAGCTGAACTACCTTGAAGGTCAGTTGTAGTCTAAAAAACTGGCAAAAGCAATAATTCAGGAGTGCAGATGATTGAGGAAGACCCAGTATGAAATGCTATTAGCATAGCGGATACTAGAGTGCCTTTAAAATCACTTGATGGAATTAGTGCCGCATTTATGTCGGTTCTGCTTCACAGTCCCTTCCATTAGAAGTCAGCTAAACTATTCAACAGGACTGGAATCCAGAAAACACTTCCTCGATGAACTGATGTTAATATTACTCCACCTATACCCCACACATCAGCGGAACGCCAAAATGTAGTTACTTGATTTGGCATGCTACTACTAGGGACTGATGAAATTTCGTAATGAAACCTTTGGTGAGTTGTGTAGCAAATAAGATGACAATGAAAGGGCTGAGGAGATAGACTGACCAATAGCGAAAAAACAGGGAGCGCCTCCAAATGCGCACTTGTTCTATAATATCCTGCACGATCGCCACATGCCAAAGGCACTTCCAAAATCGGATGGCTAATTGGAAAATTATGCAAATAAGCACGTTAATTTTTATTCAATTGTAACACTAGTTGTTTGACTCTCGGTGTTGGTGACGGACCACTTAGGGTCCCCGCCCTTGTACTCTTGCCGGGTGACTTGACCTCCAAACCATGATAGTAGCCCCCAAGCCCTAACGTACGTCGAAAACACATATTCTGTTCAAGTGTTATATCTTCTTTCGTCTTCAGCAGTCTCACGGCGCTACACTGGTGGCAGCAGAAAGCGAACTTGATCTTGAAGGACATTTGATTTCCACTGTTAGGTGATTAACCTAAGTGGGGCAGAAGAAGTGCATATATTACGAGTGGAAGAGGCTGTGACGACACCTAGCAGGTCTAAATGTCGTCCGCCATCGGCAACTACCCAAGTTCCGTAGTCTACAGGAATGCTATTAACAAATGAAGCGAAGATGGCCGTGGCCGTAGATCATCTGGAAAAGTTCGTTACAAAGTTGGCAAGCGTACGACTACAAAGATATCAATTAAGTGAACTCACGATAGCTTCTCCATTTTCCTGCTAGCTGGATAGAACCCAGATAAAAATAGCTAAGCAGCACTGAGATAAAAACTGGCAAGGAGCAATAGACGCAAAACTCTACCCCCATGGAGCAACGTTAAAGCCCGTCATTTGTCACATTTTTAATGCAGCTCGCAACAGGCATGTATGACGGCCAGTACATTCCCATAAATGACGGTACGCCAGGCCCAATAGAATTAAAAAGAGGGATCAGTGAAGTTGCGGTCAAGTATCTCCTCGGTGGCACGGAAATTCGATGACTGTCACGGTTGGTTCGTGGATGCTTGTCTTAGGGCACGGATTACGTTGTGAAAGTTGACGCGGGAGGTTGACCAGAGGGATTGCGGGGGACAAGGCTCAAAAGAGGACAGAGATTACGCAACCCCATAATTGTGCCTTTAACTCTCAATTTTGGTAACGGACCAATGAAGGGTTCCGCTATTTTACTTGGCCTCCGGGCCACACCAGTATACCCAATCCCTTCTGTACGTCGGCAATGCGTATTCTGCCTGAGTATCAGGACTTCGTCTTGAGGGAAGCCTCAGAGTGTATGCTTCATTTTTAAAGAAATGATAAGTTACACATGTGTTACCTTTTTTGTAACTGTAACAATTAGTTAATCTTATTTGATTACGCTATTTCTATCGAACTCGTGACAACACAACAAATTTTGACATCAGTCAGATGGCAAAAACATTTCGTACTTCGTTAGCTTAACACCAGTTCTCAATAACGGCAATTAATAACTGAGAACAAAGTGCGCTGCCACTGGCAATTTTGAGAAATGGGGAACAATAGAGTGCGCAGACTGCTCAGAATTACGATGAACATGCAGATGTGCAACTTCGCCAAAGTGGATTGAAAGGTGGGTAAGAAAAAATACTGGCTCTATACATGACCAGCTCCAATACAAACAGCAAAACTTCTGCAGGTAGATAAAAAGCCGCATTTGCTTCAGTGCTTCATTTTCAAGTCGATGACCCCGACAATTTTAACGGTTTTTATGCGGTGTTGTGAAAGTACATATTATGATTTGTTAATACTGTTTTTAGTCATCATCTTTTCAAAAATAATCCATGTCTTTTCCTCAATGAGATTGAAATATGCAATAAGTAAGTGAATAAAAAAAGACGATTTGGGAGGTCATGTTCTAATGCTACAAAATATTGCAAAAGGCAAGAAAACTGAATAAGTAAACTCGCTCCGGATGCTTCAAGTGAACAATGACCAAGAGGAAATTTTACTCAAGGGTAGTCTTTTCTTCACGCAATGGCTACGCATCGTTTTCGTTCAAAGGTTTCAACCAGACATTCAGGGAGAGAGCACATTCATCAAGAAAGCTGATGAGCTCAAATGGACCTAATTACTCCACTGTCGCTGATGAATGTCGGATGCAACCGATTGGGCAGAATCACTGGGGTAGAAGAGGCAACTCAATCATCTTGACGACCATATTTTGAACGGGCAAGAAATGCTATCCGGTCTGGTAGGAAAAATTAGAATAAAAAACTTCCTACTACCAAATCTACAGACCACGAAAAATACATTGACGAGCCCATATCTCACCCTTGAACATAAGAAAGCCGAAAAAGTTATTTGAAACCTGCGGTCATTTCCTCAGACAAATTTTGTGCCGTCAAACATCAAATGTTGAAAAAAGTTCATAAAAATCTCTGAGCACCGCCCTTTCAGGCTAAAAGAAATTTGTGGTAGCAGAAATGATGGACTAAACTCCCGACAAATATGACGAAATGTTCCATACCAAAGCTAACAGTGAAGGTGATGGAGCAGAAACTAATTTGCTAGCGAAAAAAAACCAATTTAAAGACTCCAACAATCTCTCTTTCAATGCACTAACATTAACGCTAATTCTTAAGGAGTGACTTAATTTATCGCCTCTGAGTATCAATCCAGCTGGCTATTTCACTAACTGTTTTGGGAAAGACTCTTTTGACAAAATGCCCGACGAGCTAAATGTCCAGGAATAAATGTATAAGAAAAAAATACTACCCTCCTGAAAGGTGATATTCCTGACAAAACATAGTTGACCCTCAAGGGGGTAGGGAAGATTATTTTGGATTGTGAACGAATTCCCCAGACACCTAGAGTCTTTTTCGATCCGAGCCCCACAATATCAATTGCCAAATTAATGAATTTAAGTCATCTTGCAAAATCCTGCAAAAATACCAGTCAATCACTTCCTTATTCAAAGAAGAGTATTACTTTACAAATAAAACTAAATGTGCAGCAGTCATTTGAGAGAGTGATGTTCACTATCCATACACCAAGGCTGATTGCGAATTCACGCGTCAAAACATCTTAATTCAGTAAAGTAAATGAACTTCATTCTATCAAAGTAAGGTTTTGACAATTGGTAGATAGGTGATGGAATATAGGATCGCATATTGCCCCTAAAGTTAGCGGTCCACATTTTGTAAAAGAGGCTACTTCTTCTGTGATGAAAATGAAAAGAATTAAGAACAGTTTGAAGGGATAGGTCATCGCTTCGCTAAAAATCAAAGTAGTGAAACTGATTTAACTCGAACGATGGCTATCACAGTAACAATGATACAAAAATGCACACCAAAAATGTTAAACACTTAAAATCATCTGAAGTAAAGATATGGATTCATGAGACTTCCTAACATCCAGTAGTCTAGTAATTCTGAGAATGCAGATGACCGCATTAGATCGACCGCAGCAAAAATACTAAGTTAGGCCGATTGTCAAGCCACAACACTTTCTAAACGATCTTACATAGTGTATTTCTTCCGATTAAAGCAATAGAAGGGATTAAATCAATCTTGACTATGAAAGCTGATTGTGGTTGAGTGAAATGCACCGAATCCAGTTTTGCGTAGAGTCAACCACTTTAGAATAATAACCCGATGTCCAAAAACCTCAGTGCCAAGAAAGGTGACAACAATGAAACTCGTATTTGCGCCTCCAAAATTAGAACGCACCCGAGAGCGACTTGACGACAATGGAGAGAAGGAGTTGGTCAAATCTGAAGAGAAGAGGTTGTCCAACGGTTAAAGGTAGATCGCCCATGTGCATGGAAAACTGTTGTGAGAGGATGTCCGAGTTTATGGGGTCCCGTGGTCCCCTAAACGGCAACAGCAAGAGCTGTGATTAAATAAGGCGGCGGAACATACGGTTTCTTCCCATACATTTCAACAGTGAAGTGGGCTAGACTAAGATAGGTGTCCGGCGAGATTTTGCAGGGATCAAGGCTGAGCGTCTGTTCTAGCGAAATATTCGCCCATTTGCGCTACAGAGGGGATAAGACAAAAGCGGAGCCTACCTGAGCTAACCCGAAACCAATCTTGCTCGGAGGCACCTTATCGCTGGGGTCCACACGGAAGACGTAGGATGCCACGCCAGTGTGAAGAGTGCTGTAGCGCAGTGTGTCCGCGTATTCCCGACTATTGATGAAGGCGCGATTCGTCAGGGACATTTCCTCTGACGGAGCTTTAGTCGCTGTCAAACGCATCTCCACGGACCCACCCTTTAGGTTTCAACACCAAAATATCTAACAGTAAGGAATTGGAAACAAAAAAACGGGAATTCAAGGGTGAAGTTAAATAGTGGCACACCGGCGGAACTTCCAGAAGGGAAACAAGCCAATGACAACTGGACTCCACCAAGGAATAGAGAACATACAGAGTTTCAAGCAAATAAGCCAAATAAAGGTACACAAGGCGAAATTCACTTTGCGGTGCTTTAATAAAAAATGATCGGGGTCAGAATAAACAAAAATTAACACAAGAATGGACGATCGACGGAAACAGTACCAAATACACTACATTCCGGTGATCAAGATCTGTGCAAAATTTACGTGGGTCTAAACAAGAAAACCTAGAATATAGTCACCTTAACAGAACCTACAACACGGCCGAAGAAGTGAGAAAAGGCAGAGTTCATAGAAAGAAAGCCACAGACCCTTACTCGTCAGCGCCCAAATTTCATGTAAGCGCTCCCCACACCAATAGGTAATAACAAGCATCCAAGGCCACCCAAAAATATTAATGGTAAAACTAAACTAAATAAACCTAAACAACCTAATTTGTAGATTACTTGCTCAATATTTGTAGCTTACTTTGGACCTCACAAAATATCTTGTGAACTATTGCCTACGCGTTTTCCGTCGTGGGATCTGCAGTCATCCCTGAAATTGTAAAACGGTGTACTAATACAAGATTTTGTATTGTTAGCTTAAAGTAGAGCCAGGCATCAATAGCTATGACTGTAAAGTAAAAGCTATGGTAACTAAACAACACGTGTGTTTGAATGTAATGCAACAGTTGCTTATCTCCCGGTTTTGGCAAGGAGTTGCTTTTGACTTAGCCCTTGTACCACGCCAGACAGACTGTTTTTCGGGTCGTGCCAGTAGCCCAAATACCTTCTCTGTGCTGAATACATATGTTCTGCCTGAGTATTATGGCTTCTTTCGTCTTGAGAGAAGTCTCAGGGCGCTACATTAATGTGCATCAAAGCAAACAGCCTGTTATTGCATCGTAGTAAGTGCATACAAAGTCAGATGACACAAATGATTAAGTTTAATAATATGCTTCCGTTTCCACCCCATCAAAACAAAAACCCTATGCTCAATTGCAAGCAATCTTTTGCAGATATTGGACACAATATTAGGGTATTTAGACGACATAGTAACTGAAATTGCTCTACTAAAAGAATATTCTCACTAGGGGAATTTTTATGCAAACACCGACCTAAGTACATTTTGCTGAATTTTTAGCGCATTACCCTGGTCATGTATTAATGGCATTTCACCAGTTACTAGTTTCTTGGAAACATGCTAAAGATGATAAATGTAGTGCTACACTTTCATCGCATTCTTTTGCATATGTCGTGTGTGGAGCATAACGGAGGTGGCAAATCTACTGTCATGGGAAATCATTTTGCTCCACTTTCTGGTGCATTCAAATAGCAATTATGACAGCTTACATGCATTGTTTCATTTTAGTTTGTAACTTTACCACAAGGCAGTTGCAGTGTTCACGCAAAACTTGTTTGTGACGTGCACTCAAACGCACACACACATATCCATACTTTCCTCTCACAACCAAACAACGTGCAGCACCAATCACCAATTGCAGCGGCAACAGTACCAGCAGAGGCATCGCAATCAATAGGCTTTAAGGCAGGCAAGAGCACTCTCCGTCTTGGCACTCAAGGAGTCTGGAATGACCTTTATACCTTCGTATCTACCTTTTCACTTCCTGCGATTGTGTAAGTCTTCCACGGTTTTCCTTACATCCTTCCCTCCTCCCTACATCTAATAGTTTCCAGGGTCACTCTCTCTGATTAGATGCAATATGTGCCAAAAATTTGGAAGCGAAACTCAAACAAAGGGAGTGCGTCATAATTTGAGTAGCTTTTTAGTGCTTCATGTAGTTGCATTCCTTCAGCCAAAATACACAAAGCCATTTAAGCTAATATCGGAAGACAGTCTCATGTATGCGTCAAAAAAAATTGATGAAGACTTCAAAAAGTCATACTTTCCTCCTTCCAATCAACAGTATTGACTTGGATTTGCTTGGTGGCACTGGTAATGGGTACCAGGGAACAGAATGAGAGTGCATTGGCTCCACACACTTCAACCGAAAATACCACGCTATTCGAGGACGAGATAAAACGGACACAGGAAGAGACAGCCAAGCAACCGGAAAATCGCGCGATCTGCCCCAAATGTCAAGGCAGGAGCCTCTGCCTAGTCTCTCCCTCCGGCAAGGCTAGTTGCTTCTGTCCACCAGATCGCACCGGCGAGTTCTGCGAGCTGGGTAAGCCATCTAAAAATCGCCTAATACACGAGTAAGTGGATCCACCATTTAAAATTAGAAAAAAAAACATTTTTGACAGATTTTTGACACTTGGTCTGGAACTACCCTTAAACGCCACGCCAGGGCTCAGTGTGTATGGGATTAGTGATGGAGACATCATAAAAAGTTCAGTGATAATGCGTTTAAAATAAGAATCCGTAGTCTAATTGACATAGTTCATTGTGCTCTCTTCCATCAGAAATAGTCAAGCTTCCAACTGCGTGCACAAAGGATCAGTGCGAAAATGGAGGCGTTTGTGACCAAGGTCCCATCACCACCATTTGCTACTGCTCCGAAAATTATGTCGGCGCGAATTGTTCTCGGGGTACGTCATCTCCTCCTCATTTTCCTTGCTGCCACTTTATTAGTACCCCAAGTCGCATTGTAGAGAATAAATTAGCTATCAATCTTTCTTTGCTACCAAAACTTGATTAATTGGTGTTTTTCAACCCTTTGCTTTGCCTACGGAGGCATTACTTTTAAAAGTAAACAGAAATGAAGCTTTGCATAACCGTTGATAGGCTTGTAAAAAGATGTATACGTACCGAACTTCATGCAGAATTTAGTAAACAAATTTGTTTTACGTTTAGTGGCGGTTTGGATTAAACTCTCAATGAATCTCTATGAGAATGGGAAACTGGTGGATTGGTCGAAGCAAAACAAGTCAAAGCCGCTCCTCGCCTATGCCGCTTGCAATCAAGTGAGACCCACTAAAGTTCTCCCGGAAAAAATGATTTTCATGCCTCATACAAGTCAGTGCACGTAACTTATGAGCCGATGAAGCTTTAAATCACGCCGTGACCTTTGCTTGGAAATACTCTCGGTCCTGGCAACTCGCAAGCGCTATTACTTTTATCTACTTAGGTAACAGCCTCCATTCTGCGGGGTCCAAATCCAACCATCGCGACCGCTTTTATGGATTGTGACCTTCAGGAGTATCATAAGATTCTTGTGGGTAACCAAGAGGGAGTTAGAGTTACTACAATGCTCAAATTTGATCCTGGTGACAATGCTAAAGCGTTACGAGAATCCGAAGTGAGGCGACACATAGAATCATCCACATATAACATTGACTTCGACTCCGGTGAGACCATCTCTGTTACCAGTAAGTCTTTTTCTATCCTCAAATTGCCTTTTACTTTGCCCCGACTTACGTGGTATTTATCCATCATGTGCTGCTTGGGTCGCAGGCTTCAATGATGTAGATGTAAATGTATCGGCCTGATGCTTTCCTGAAGAGGAAAGAAGACGTAATACGCGAGTAGAATATGCATTGTCAATGTACAGATGGGTTGAGGGGCTACTGGCATGGCCCAGAGGCTAGACCGTCTGGCTGAGGTACAATAGTGGGGCTCCTCAATAACTCTTTACCTAAACCGGGGGCTAACTGAACGAATAAATACTACATTGCAGCAAATATGTAATGGTGATAAACAAAATGTATCTTAGGACATCTTTACATCCCAATTCTAGGCTTGAGTTTTTTTCAATAATTTTTGCCTAGACTACGACGTCTGTGAAGCACACAAACACGACTGTTCTCCATCAGCCAGTTGTATTTGGGACGGGATCACTTACTCGTGTGAATGTAACAGATTCTACTCGGACGGATTTGTGACCGGGAAACTCCTGCCTGGTCGAGACTGCTACCGTGAGTTTCCAATGCTACATGTATATGTCATGCTCTCGTGAATTTCGCGAAAATTCAAACTGAGATTGCTATGCATTCAGTACTCAGCTCAGCACAATTTAAAGCAGTTCAAACATTCAGATGGATTATTGAACCTCTCGGTGTCATGATAGATTGAAAGGAAGTCCTCTACTTAGTAAGAGAGAATTGTAAGACCAAATCCTTGAAAGTTTTATCCGAAGAACTCCCAAATCGACCAAAGAAGACTTCGGTTTGGGCAAATTTTACAGACTTCCGCCTATGCTAAGCTGCATTTAAAAAATCATTTAAAATTATATGTAGCATGAAAAAATGGGTACGCGTGGTAAAACTGGCCAAATGTAGCAACCCGGGACTTACCTGAGTATGAAAGAAGACAGAATACTTGGGGAGAATATGCAGCGGCGACGTATAGTAGGGCCAGAAGGCTACTGGCATGCTTAAAAGGCCAGACCGCCAGGGAGAAGTGCAGTTGCAGTGCTCCAAAGTTGCTAGTTACGGAAATCGAGAGTTAAACAAACACTAAAAGCATTACATAGCTCCTCTCCCCTTTTGAGCATCGTCTCCAGTGCTCCCATTTCTCAACCTCCCGCCTCAGCCTTCACAACGTAGACGGTGCTATAGGGCAAGCACCCGTTAGCCAACGTGCCAGTCATCGAGATTTCAAGTCACTGGGGAGGTACTTGATCTCAACGCCACTGGCCCCTATTGACAATTCTTCTAGGTCTAGAGTTTCGACCTGTATGGGAAGTGAAGTAGGGACGGGAGAATGTGCTGACGGCCACACGTATCTACCGCTAATCGTGGGAGTACTGAGCTAAAGGAGAAGTCGTATAACAAAGGGCAAAGTTAACGCAGTTCTGTGTTCTCACTTTAGTGCTGCCCAGGTATTTCTATCTCCGTTATATCCAGCTATTAGAGAGGTAAAAGATTTACTGCGAATTCACATATTTGATATCTTCATACATTTACCGCAGACAGCTTCGTAACAAAGTGTTTTATAAATGGTTCACGGCTAGTGTCTCTTCATTTAATAGTGGCTTTCCTGCTGACGCCCTCTGTTAAGGGTCGTCACATATTCTCCCACCCGCAACATATGCCCTTCTTCTGCCCCGCCAAGATTTATCACTTAGCCGTAGAAATTAGCATGGTTGTCCTTTAAGACTGGGTTCGCTTTTCTCTGCTACCGATGTACTGCCCCGAGACTGGCCTGATAGCAAAAGCAGACGTTATACACTAGTATAGAACATCTCTCTTGCCACCTATGCAGTACTTCGAGACTTCCCTGAAGACGAAAGAAGGTATTACCCTTGGGCGGTATATGTATTTTTGACTTGCAGTAGATCTAGGGATTGATGGTATGGCTCAAAGTCCAGGCCAAGCAGGAGACTTACAGTGGTGGATCTCCAGGCGGTCTGTTGCCAAAACTGAGAGTTAAACGCATAATTGTCATATTACATATTTTTTGTGGTTGATTAAAGCTAATGAGAGTTGCGTTGCATTATTTCATTGAATTTACAAAAGCCTTCATTAGCGACTTTAAACGGAAAATAAGTGGCCGAATTTCGAATGAAAGAAGCAGCCTGCAGAAGATACTATGGTATATTTATGTATGTCATTAAGTTAAGAGAGTTGAAAATGGTGAACTTCCATATTTTACATAGTCCTAGACGATCTGCTAAAGCAGTAGGGATTTTCGGTCTTCTAGATAGCTTCATGACCGGCTTCCTTCTGGGCTGTTTGATTATCCTCCCAATAATAATCACCACCTTCACTGGTCTCTTCTATTGTCGTCGCTACCAGGCGAAAAAGGCTTGGATCCCCACGTCGGGGGATTCGGATGGCCTCCAGCTGGTCTCCTCTCAGTATCCCAAATACGATGCCTAGGCGTCGCATTAATCATCTTTCTTTCATTCATCCATTCAGCACCCATCAAATCACCTATACTACTCTTTCTCTCTCAGGAAAGAGGATTTGAAAAGCCTTTTTTGCTTAACTCTACTGTATTTCATTGCTTATTTTTAACAGAGCCATTGGATATCAATGAATTTTTACTGCTTCATTGTGAAATCTTGCGATATTCAATTTTATCCGCTTTCAAAAGGAGGGTTTGAAATAGAATTTAAAAGTGGATTTAATTGCCGGGCAAATATAAACTTGAACTTTTTAAATTAAACTTTGGTGGGGGTGGGGTAAAATGCGAACGTAAAACAGCGCTCCTCTACTGAGGAAATAGTACCACAACATTTTTACATGACAAGCAGCTTTACGAATCAGTCACTATCCTTGACAAAATTGGAGCATCACAGTAGTCTCATTTTGCGTTTTACTTTGACCGCGGTCCAGTGAGTCCCATCTACGGAGTCTTCATCGCTGCAACCGTAATGGCACCCTTCGTCGTGGCATCAATAATGCTCTTCTTCTGGATACGAAATCGCCAATTCCGCAGATTTTGGATTCTTCCAACTAGTGAGCAGGGTGATCAACTAGGATTGGTCGACTACCCTCGACACAGTTTTACCGTCTGAAATCTGTTATTATCAACCTATAAAATATGATCAACATCCTTCCTTTCTGGTTGACCCCCACCTATCTACTTCACTATCGTTCGTATTGTACATTTTCTATCGTCAAAAAGGGCTATTTTTGGATTAAAAGCGCCGCTTCTTCCATTGGTCGGCTCCTACAAAATCTACACATACGCACATCTACCCGCACCAATTAAAAACAAGGAGAAAAATCGATAAATCTATGGTGCACTGTAGGAACAAGGGAAGAGATGGACAGGGCGGGTCTGGTAGAGCCTCTTGTACGTCCAGGCAAGTGTGATTCCGCGATGGAGAAGGTGGAAGCCGAGCGAGTGGAGAATGTCTTGAAGACAACAGGTGCTGAGCGTGTGATAGCCAACTACCTTCCTGGCAAGTTGGAAGAGGCAGGGTGGAATGAGCGAATGTTTGAGGAGTGCCGTAAATGGCTGAGGACGAATACAGCCAGTGGGCAACGAGTCTATTATGGACAAAAGGTGAGGGAAGAGTTTCGCGAACCCGAGGATGTGGATCCGCAAGAGTTGGTAGAACCGTTGACCAAGTTGGGCATGTCCCTTGTCCCAAAGGAGGTCTCCACTGAAGTTATAGAGCATATAATTAAAGCAATTAAGGAGAATATTACAAATTGAAGGAAGATGCAACAATTTTGAGAAGTGAATAGCGGAATAAGGCTTGACCTGAAGCGGTGAAATAGTGCATTTTGTTGAAAATAAATAAAAACCAATGAACGTGTGGAAGAATACCCCTGCCACGATTCGCAATGGAGCAATCAATAATGTTCATTTGGATGGGGTGACTGAACCTAGCATTATAAAGTAAGCATTCAGAGAAAGCGAACATTCGCAAATTATTGTTGTAGGCGTTGCTACGTAGGTTGCTACATAAGGCGAAGCAACCATTTAATGAAGTCTGTCATCATTTTGAAAGGGTTTCAAGGCGGATACTTTGATTCTTACAAATGAAAAAAGTAAAAGCCACAACACCATAGAGGTAGCAAAGTGGGAATTGCACGTCACATAAAGGAATGAATTTGTGCATGCGCATACAATTCGCATGCTTGATAAAAATGAAATCTAAATCAGTTTTTACTTGAACCAATGAAACGCCTGTCAAAAAGTAACGTAATGAGTACCATGCATCTAAACTTGCTAATGAAACTGACACATAAATATCCTTCTTTTACACTCAAGATGTACAAGAACTGAAGTTATTTTAGTTAATATAAGTTCCTTACGAACATTTTGACTAGTCCTGCAAATAAAGCCCTTTAGTACAATAAACAGGATATTTTCAGTTTAAGTTGTTGATGATGTTACCTTATTGACGAATGTAATTTGTGGTCAAATTTGGTTTGGTTTTTTGCAGGCTGTTGATTTGCGCAAAATTGTCGCATTTGGTGCCTGCTACTTTGCGATGCTTAAACAAACGAGGTCTTTTAACAGTGACGTTAGTGCAGCTTCTCAATCTCAAAGTAGCGTAAATACTTCACGAAAATCGGAGGAATTTCTCTGCCATCTTCCCCCTAAGATACCCAAGTATGTTTCGGTGACTTGAGGAGGCATATCGGACTAAGTACTATAATGACCTGAATATTCTCTTTAATTCTAGACTTGAATTAAGACCAGCTACTCTTTATTCGAAGCTTTTTGGGAAAAATGACCCTGAAAAGCCTTTTGTGCCTCCAGATCCCGATGCTGTCCCGGATATATCCTTTGTGATATCTCCGGTAACTTCATTTATTGCCCTCTATACGTTAAGAATGTCATCAAAATTAACAACCCAACTCTTTTTAGGGAACCAATGCTAATCCGAGGTTCCGAAAACCCTTTATTTCCATGGAGAATTCCCTAGCAGATTTAAGTGTAGGCGAATACAAGCATTTGCTGGATATAGCAAGTTCTGGCTTGGTGTCCTTCGACTCCCACCCTTTGACAGCCAATGCAAAGGCGTCTTGGTTAGTATTTTATCGGAATTATGCCCTTTTCTCATTCTTTATTCCGTTCTTATGTGCTCTGTCCCTTTGTGAAAGCAATCGTTCACATTTACGTTACATCTGTTAGTTGTCTATCTGTCACGGATACTGTGTGATGTTTCGAGTTATTTTATTTTTCGCCTCTTTTATATCTGCCTAGCTGTTACAAGTATGTCTGTGGCGGGAATTTCATAATACACTTTTATTTTAGTTCAGGTACTCAATCGAAGTCGGCATCTAGTAAGTCACACTTCATTTCAAAATTTCGAATTGTTCTTATTCCTTATTGATTTCATGACGTATTACCTCTGCTATAATTGCTTATTTACATATAAGTGGTGCACACTCGATTACAAGGAGTTTATGTCCGATAGGTTGTTGAAAATTATAATTTTTCACTTCTACTTGTTCCATCGTGCATATGATATGACGAGCAGTCTTTACGGACCAATCCGGTCTACTTAATTTACAGCCATTTTGGCAAATGTTTAATTCTTGAAATTCCCTTCAGCTCATTAATTGTCGACCATGGGTTGTGATGGTCGAGGAGTATCGCCAGATCCTCCACCAGACTCGTTCTGTCCAAGTGGCGTAGTCCGCTCAACTGTTCTATCTATCTTCTGCACAACTAATTAAAACGTGTGAGACAGTGACCACGCCAAACTTTTGCTGACTCGCATAAAATCTTGAGCATTTCCACCCACCTCAATTCTTTCTCGCATGAATTATGCATAACCGAAGTCAGTCATGGTAATCGGACTTTAAAAGTAATCAGACCATATTAAACTACCGGATTTCTCCTTATGCTTGTGAATATTACTCATTTTTCGTCACTCCTTAGTCATTCCAGTGTCAGGCGCCACGACAGTGACGAGCATGACAGTGACAGCGACCTCTCCGGCGGCCGATGATTGGTGCTCGCGGGTGAGCAACACCCCCTACCTCTCCAAGGGCTGGCTTTCCAATCTCACCACCGCCGTTGCATCCTCCACGAGCCGACGAGAGAAGAAGCGAGTACAATTGGAGGAGGAGATCAGGTTCTGGAATAATCGGGTACATTAAGAGCGTGAGATAGGGCTACATGCCAATTGAGTGTACTCATTCTGTTCCTCCTTCTCCATTACAGAGGAAAGCGTCGGAGGAAGCGAAAATAAACGAGTTGGAGATGCGTCTGTCCTGCCTCCTGCGAACGCCGCCTGTCCTTCAGGACCCCTACCTCCAACCACAACCTATTCCTCAGGAATTGCCCTACAAACGTCCAGTTAAATCAGCACTTCCGGGTTTGTTATGCACACACTGCTGTCTTTAATAGCTCTAACTTTTAAGTCGATTTGTAAAATTACTTGAGATCTTGAGTCAATTAGCTTTTAATAGTGTAATCTACATACGTCTTGACTTGTCAGTTCGGGCCACAGGAGTTGATTGTGATAAGAATTGTAATGGTGTCGCCTACTACGGTTACCTTGCAGAAAGCTAACCTGTTCGAAATATTCTTTGTGTAAAGAAGGTTATAGCCCTCATCTTGTCCATACGTAGCTCTAATTAACCGTTCTAGGTATATTTCAGTTGCTATACCAACATTCCCTCCCCGCATGTTCATCTCACAGCTGAGCTTCTGATCAATCTCTATTTCATGATAACTTTCGAGTTTTACGGCTTACTAAGCCTTCGTGGCCATATTTTTAATTTGAGGTTGTTTCTTCCAGTACTGTCAAAATGCCCCCACATGAGGTAAAAACACATGGGCGATTTATATTGTGAATTTGTTGGAGCTTGTTTTAATAATGCTTTAATTGCATCTCACTGCAATGCGTTCGGGGACAAATAAGATTTGAGTGAGGGTAGATGAAATACAATTTGATGAGTGTTGCTCGACCTCATAAGCACTTTTCATCCATTGGTCCTTTCAGTGCTCACAGAGTCGCAGAACGCGGAAGTGATGCTGCGATTGGCAGACGCAAAAGAGGAGACAGTGTTAGTGAACAGCTACCGACTGGCAGTGACACGACGCGAGTTAATCACCCTCACAGGCACGAATTGGCTCAACGACATGGTGATCAACTTCTACCTCCAAATGCTCGCCCACCGCAGTCGACAGGCGGTGGTGGCAGCGCTGATGGGCGCACTGAGGGTAGCGACGATGAACAGCTTTTTCTACCCCAAACTCACCTCAGGCCCTGGCTATGCGGGCGTGCGCCGGTGGACGCGCTCCATTAACCTCTTTGAGTACGATCTCATCCTAGTTCCCATTCATGATCGCACTATTCACTGGTGTCTCGTGGTACGTTCCTCTCTGCTGCCTCACTTTCATGCAAATTAGTGCCACCATTGCTGCCTTTGGGGCAGCGTTTCGTTCCTCTCTTCAATCCTGTATGTGGTCGTAAAAGAGAAAATTAACATTTAATAGTGTCTGACGATTGCTTGCTATAATGAAACTCCTTAAATATCCAGAAAGTATATCACCATTCCTTTCACTTTCTGAATTTAAATGTTAGAAATATGAAATTGCAAAACTCTTTGGAACGAGTTTTAGTAGTTTTGCGGTTTATTCACACTGTCTACTTAGCATCTAATTAAGTAGCATCAAATTTCCAAGAAATTGGATTGGGGTTCATCACATTTCTTATTGTCAAGTTCTTCGATATTTCTCCCTCTTAGGCTATTGATTTGCGAAAGAAAACCCTTTCCTACTACGACTCCATGGGTGGTGTCAATGACCGCTGTTTGGATGCACTTTTGTAAGTTTTACATGCGGGTTTTCCGTCGGAGGATGTTCTGTCTGCACACACCTTTGCTCCTTGTAAAGCAATCGAGCACTTACTGTCTGCGTAATAACCGCAAGCCAAATAGCAGTCGTGTTCATTTTGAAGCCCATTTCAGAGTTTATTAGCCCTTAAATGCCATTTCTCACGTGGAGCTTACCGTCTAAGTACAATGACTGAAGTAGCCGGGATGCGCGTTGTATGGTTGTATAATGGGTTTAAGTTGTCAGCATGTGAGGCTTGTTTAATTTAACTGCGATCACATATTCTTTGCTCTCATTAGAGATACTACTATACGTCTTTCGTGTTAGGAGTAAAATCCTTTACTAACTTTGATGATTGTATTTTATTTTGTCTCTGGTTTTATCTCTTTGGGGATTTTAGGATTGCAGAAATCAGGCATCTGGCATTCTTTAAAAAAATATGAGCTGTTGCGAATTTCATCAAGCAGAATTCCTGACACGTACTTTTTGTTTGGTCTCCAAGAAATTGGAAAAAAATGATAAATTTGACTCCTATAAAAATATTCAGTCAGAAGTGATGGACCAACAAAGCCTTCAAAGAATCGGTGTTGTTCGTTGCCTTGTCTCTCAAGCCTTGGTTTTTTCACTACATATCCTTCTGCCATTACATCCAGTTCGTGCTTCCCTTGGTTACAGCTTTTCGCCTGTAGCTTATCAAATTTTAGCACATTTAGCTGATCAGTATATCTAAATTTAACCTAGTCATTATTCTCCGTGAATTACAGGTGTATGTAATCCAGTTCTGACGTGTTGACGGTGTGGCAGCTCGGTTGAATTACCCTATCCCACTGTTTGCTGAGTTGAATTGAATGCTTACCACAGTTTCAAGCAGTGATGGAATGGTTTTGGAAGTGATGTGCTTGTCAGTGAAGGCGAGAGTTCAAACATATCAGCATTGGACCATCAAACATTTACAATACCTCTCTTTCAGCACATCGCCAAACACTTCTCCTTGGACCCTCGCTTGACCTTTGTAAAAAAATGTGCATAGATTTGCTAGGCATCCTCTTTATCTTGGCAGTCTATCTCAGTCAGTTCAATTTCATTCTTCCACCTGAATTAATCGTGATCTCCTACCAGAACTGAAGCCTTGTCCAACATTACCCATAAACAAGCCACAACCTCTCTTCGACAAAACCTGTTTTCGGTAATGCTGTAATCTGCATGGTTCCGTTTCGAAGGGCGGAAGCATCTTTCCGTCAGTTGGCATGGAATTGTCAGCATAAGGTCTTCCTATGTGCACTTACTAATCCCGTCTCGGGTGGTGTAGAGGTGGGTTGTCATAATACGACACTAGCTTTTCATCATTCTTTCAGGAATTATCTGAACGCCGAGAGCCAAGACAAACTCCAGAAGCCACTAGAGGCGATGTCCACATGGAGGAAGATCAATATGGGCGTATGTCCCCCTGCCTTCCTTATTGTTGCCTTTTTTGCCTGTGAACTCTACTAAGTGACTAGCCAACTTCCACTCTTTCCACTCCGTAGACATCTGTGCCACAGCAAAGTAATGGTTCCGACTGCGGCGTCTTTCTTTGCACCTACGCGGAGTTCTTGTCCCGTGATGCTGAATTCACCTTCTCTCAGGTGAGATGGGCGCCATCATGAGTGGTGTCCGAAGGTTTGATCGTAGTAACCACACGCACACACACGTACCCAACTTTCCACTCTCTTCCAATGACCAGTTTGGCAATCTGCCCTCTACTCGACCAGACTCGAGTAACCTCCTAGACGGTGAACTCATAGATTGTAGGTTACCTTGCTCACTCGTGCACACTTCAGTTTCACCATTTATGGTCCTAACCTGGTTTAGGAGGATCATTTCTCTCCGATAATCACCAATGAGGTAGTTGTCTGCGCTATGACAGCGCTTTTGCCCTTGATGGAAGGACCACCTACTAGCAGCAACGTTAACACCACCTTCGTCACATGGGCGTGGATAGTGTGAAGCTACAAGCCGTTTTCCGTTGATTACCTTCAGCAAGTTTAACAATTAATATGACTTGCTTGGAGAACCATCACCTCTATCAAGCATTCAGCTGATCTGATTGTGTCTACAAACTAATGAAGCACAGTCCGCAATTGTTCGGGGTTCTGCTGTCCACTCTACCCCATCTTCAAGTTAGTGGTTTTATCCACACTCGACCGGCCCAAAGCGAAAAACCCCATGGGTCACAAGATCAATCTCTTCTAAGCGTGGAACCTTCTCTACCTTTTCAGGAGGATATGCCAAACATTCGGAAACGGATGATGTATGAGATCCTGACGCGGCAGCTCCTCACAACAGGAACAAGACTGGGAGAAGGCTGATTAGTTCCCTCCTCCTCCCTCTTCCCGCCCAGTATCCCTTACGGCTCCATTTTATACCACCAATACATGTTTTTACTTGAAGGCACGCCTAGCAGATAGGGATGAGTAGATCAAGTAATTTTTTATTATGCCTATTTGAAAAGAGAATACATATCGTGTCAGGAAAAAAGCCTAAAGAAACGAGTTGAACACACGCAAAAAACAAAACCATACGCAGTAAAAAAGGCCGGTGATGGGGATAGAAATGGCTGGAGTGTACAATGACGATCAAGGTACCGGAAATTTGTGACGGAGGTACGAGAGGAGGGCGAGATATTCGAGACTTAGGAATTGCTGGCTATTCCACCGGAGGTGGTACCGGCAGCTGCGGCAGTGCCGGTGAGAACCCGTGCAGAGGACGAGGACGCGGCGGTTGTGTTGGTGACAGGTAGGGGATTCACCACAGCGTCACCCGTTCCACTGTGAGCGGTTGCCATGAGGGAATCGGAATAGGGTTTGCGTTTGAGTAGCGAAGGGTGAATGCAAGGTAACACACCGCCATGGGAAATGTGAACGTTTTTTAGTAGTTCGTTCAATTCCGCGTCATTTCTCACACCTAGCATGATGTGACGGGGAGTTATGGTCTTCCTGCAACCCAAATGTAAAGGTTCTTAGTTTGTGGGAAATAAAGAACCCTGCCTATGGTAGGATTGCGAATCTGACACTTGGACTCGTTAGAAGGGTGGAAAATGCATCTAATTGGCCGAAATACGGCCCAAGCTTACCTTTTGTTGGCTTTGGCTGCATTTCCAGAGAGCTCGTTCACCTCAGCAACAAGATATTCGATAACCGCAGAGAGGTAGACAGAGGCTGCAGTTGATGTGCGACGGGCATACCTGCCCAGTTTAAGGTAACGATGAACTCGACCGACGGGCATAACTAATCCCGCTCTGGCAGACTTCGTATGCTTCTTACCTCCAGCAGGTTTCCTAGCCTTACCTCTACCCGACATTCTGACGGCTGTATAGGCAGGAAAGTGGCCAGACGCCGCCACCAAAACGCCCGGGGCTTCAATAACGACAGAGTAAAACAAGAAAGCTAAATTTTTGCAAACTATTTGAAGGGGAGGGCTAGTGCAAATAAGTAGGATCTTCCTAGTACAGAGAAGCTGTAATTGTAAAATTTGTTGTAGAAGTAGGAAATTGTTGATTAAAAATTTTGGAAACCGAAATTGCACTGGATTTGCACTCTGCTGGATTTTAAACCACTGCATGGTTCAAAAAAGAGAGAGGTTTAATTTTTTAAATTCATGGTTTGGTCTAGAGTAAACGTGCCTAACAAGCTGGATTTCAAAATATAGTCAAAATAAATTGCCGAAAACAGCTAATGAACATCAATTCATTGCGCGCAGTCCTAAAACTGCTTCTTTTGGTTCTAACTTTAACTAAATTAACTAACAGAGCCTTATCAAGACACTTATTAATTGCTTGAAATCCGAGCACGGCAAATGGGTTTGCAAGCCTTGGATGACAAAGACATTTTGCCATAATCTACAAATGCTTAGCAGTTTTTTGATAAAAATAAGTTAAAGATGTTGTTGGTATGATGTGCCAACAGTGGCAGACCCCAATATTGATGCCGTAGAAAGAGTAATAGCATTTTCCTTGCTGCAGATTTTGTAAGCATACTGAAGGAGGCCTATTCCCTGCTCTGGCCTTAAAATTAAGATTTTTGCCTTCTTTTGCCGCTGTCTTGCAAAAGCGGCCATCTCATTCGGTTAAAAGTTGACTCATTTGATACCAGTCATCATAACTCTCTTTTAGCACATTGTCGAACAATTTCCCTTAGGCCCTTAACTAAACTTTGTATAGCAAATGCCTTTAGAATATTTTTTTTAGCCTCAGACTGGAATATTACCGACAGGGCTCGTCCAAATTGGCAGCTAACTAATAAGATGGACACTTTATCTTAACTTCCATGTCTTGAGGAGTAGACCCGACCCCCTTAACCTTTGTCTAATCAGTTGTCCGCGCATAGTTTTGAACCGCTGCCACATATTGTTTCATCGTCACCCGCCTCTTGCGCAAGCGAGGTTGTTCTATGCGTTCAACACTCTCATCTGCAGGGATAACAGTGGGGTTGCGGTAGTCGGTGTGCTTGAGGGAGATCAAACTCCTGACCACCCTTGCATTGACCACGTTCTAAGCATCGTGGGTGATCACAATATTTGCATGATTGAGACCTCAAAAGGGCCTGCGTTAAAGCTACTTCTACTTACGCTTTATTAGTAGACATTTTATTGGTTTAGTAGCAGTTTAAGAACGCAGTTGCGATAGTCGGTACTTATTCACCCGGCGATGTGATCCGATGCAATACATGTTGTTAACTCTAAATCTCTTTCAAAAAAATGATTTACTATTCCAGTTGTGATTGCTACGTAAACTCCAATTAGACACATGACGCCGAACTTGAGAGCTTTTACTTAAATAAAGCTAGATTTTACAGTATCTAATTTGGTGAAAGAATTATAGACTCCATGCATCTTACATGACCAAGCTTTAGGATCACTTAAAGCAAAACACTTTTTGAGAATTCTGTGTCGTTTCACTCAAACAAACATTGATAAGGAATTGATTTGTTTCTCTTTAATTTATTCCATGGTCAAAGTGTAGTGAACGCTGCAGCATTCTTACCACAAGTTCCTGCAACAAATAGGCACTAGTCAGCATAAAAACAACTTTTTGAACGGGCAAATAGGAAGAACTGACAGAAACGACTGATTTCCCATGCAATCTGTTTTTCATGCATTCAGTGGAGACCGCATTATGGGCACCTTTCCTTTACTTAGCAGTAAGTTCATTTTGTTATATCAAATCGTATTAAAACGTGGCTAATGAACTTCATTAGAATATTAAATAGTGATAATAAAACTCGAATTCCAGCACAATGGCACCAATTGCATTTTGCTCGGCCGGAGGCAAAGTTGCGTTTACACGACCTAGTGTCTGGCCAATTTAAATCACGTTGGAATTAAGTGAAAAGCCGCGTTTCATTACTTCCTGCAGTTCTGAGCGTAATCATCTCCTATCATCAAAATATTGTGCTCTTTTTAGTTTTACCGTAGCTATTTGTAATCAGTTTTGGTCTGATAACATATTAAACTTTCGAGCTCCTACCCAAATTTTTCCTTCGCATCATCTATGAGGCAGTCTTTTACTAAATTAATTCTTACGAGGTTGCGGTTAAGTCAGTGACCGTCTGCATTACTTCTGCACGTGCGATCCTTCATTGAAGTAGAGGTGTGTTTGGCCGATGAGCATAAATTTAACCAAAGAAAATGCTTAATACCCTAATTAAGGATTTGTATAGGAGCTCTACTTCTACTTAGCAATCTCAATCGTCAAACAGCCGTGTTTTTTCCGAATTGGATCGTAGCAAAAGAAAGGCAGCTGCGGATGTTAGCGACATGAAGGATTTGCACCTTATTAAAAATTGCTACCTTCCCTGTCATAATACAAGATTGATTATCCATTTTATTGCCGAAAATATAAAAAAATAAACACTAGAGTTGCGGTGCTCAAACCGCTAGAAGTACTTGCAATCTTACCCGTTGATTACGCCTACAGATATATAGTATAACCAAGTTGTCGAAAAGATCTAAGAGAAAGCCAACTTCCATAATTTCACCCACTTCTTTAAACATAAAGGAAAAACTCGCAACTTGCAATTTATTAATCAAATATGTGTAGCGCCCCGAGGCTTTCCCGGGGACGAAAGAAGACGAAACATTCAGGCGGAATACATATCGTTGATGTACAGCAGAGATGGGGGGCCAATGGCATGGCCTAGAGTTCAGGCTGACCAACTGATATACAATGGCCGAGCACCTCATTGGTCCCTTACCAAAACCGAGAATCAAACAATTAGCAAACTTCATAGCCTCTCGCCCCTCCTAAGCGTTGTTCTGGCACTCCCCTTGCTCAGTCAGCGACTCCCGTGTCATTTATCACAACGCAATCCGTGTTGTTAGGGGAAGCACCCACGAGCCAACTGTGCCAGTCACCGAATTTCCATGCAAGTGGGGAGATGCCCGACCGCAGCGTCACTGATCCCTCGTGAAAATTCTACTGGATCTGGAGTTTCGTTCTGTCTAGGGAATTTATTGTCCGTCACACAGTCTATCGCTAGTAGTAGGAACACTGATCACAAAGCAGAGTTCCATGACGAGGGGTAAAATATAGTTCCATGGAAGGTAGGGTTTTGCGTCTCTTCCTCCTCGTCACTTTGTTCGCACTTTTTTGCTGTCTAGCCATTTCTCTCTAGTTTCTATCCAGCTAATAGAAAGGTGGAAGAGGCGTCGCGTGTTCGCTTAGTTAACAAATTCATACAAATACGGCAAACAGCTCCATTGAGAGCTTTTTCAGATGGTCTGCATTTACGCATAAGGTCATTTCACTTTTAAGATCATTCCTGCGGAACAAGAAACTGGTATGGATACCAAAGAGGGACGTCATTTTTAGTCCCAATGTTAGGGGTCGTCATCGGTTCTTCTATCTACAAAAAAGGCACTTCTTTCGCCTCGCTAAGATTCCCTTAGCGGGTTGCCTTTTCGATGTCACCGATATAGGGCCCCAGGTCCTCCCTGAAGACAAAATAATACTAGGATGGAAAATGTATTGTCGACATATGGCAGGGCTTGGACACTACTAGCAGGGCGCGAAGCCCATATCACCCGACAGAGACACGATGGCAGAGCCGCCAAGTGGCCCATTAGGAAAAAAGGGAGTTATGCAAACACTTAATGCCTTACCTTATCTTTAAATGCAGCAAAGATTCTCAAATTGTTCTAAAATGTGATGAGTAGACTAAAAAAGATGCAATTTAGCACCTTTTGGTAAACAAAGTTAGCTAATAACTACATTAGAGGGCATTTTAACGTGCCACCTCGCCAGAGACTTGTTTGATTCCCCTGTCGGATAGGCAAAGTTGAGTGTGGTAGCCTGGACAGCTTGTAGACACAAACATCACTCATATTTCTCAGTCCTCACTACCAATGTCCACCAATCACCGCGGAAAAGATCCAGGCGCGGGACTGAATTCCATGCATTTCGTGATTTACAAAAAAATGTTTATAACGGGTTCATCATCTAACCCAAAAGAGCATTTATATTCATCATTCTGCTTACCCACTGTTCCCTTTAATACCAAAAAGGTGTAAATTCGGGCTATCATAGGTTGGAAATTTAGGTTCACCTTATGAAACCGCTTCAAGAAGTTTTCAGCCGAACTGCATCCTCCACCAATTGCCAATCAGGTAATGCAGCTCGCGTAGCGACTCTTTTTTGCTCACGATCTGGTATGCTAAAGGTACATGCTGTAAAGTGCCAGTAAATTCTACTCGGAAGCAGAAAGAACGCATTATCCCCAAATTCAGTTTCCGATTAGGACGGAACTCCAGATCTAGTGGAAGTGCCAAGAAGGATCATGTACCTCCTCACTTGCATGGAAATTCGGCGAATAGCACGGTTGATTGGTGGTTGTCTACCATACAGCACCGACTGCGTTGTGATGGCCGACGCGGGAGATTGACCAAGAAGATTGCTGGGGACAACGCTCAAGGGAGGGAAGCTAAGTAGTACGTTGTTTGTCTAACCCTACTTTTTGGTTACGCTGGCACTTCAGGCCCCACTTTTAAACTTCTAGGGCATACCAGTAGCCTCCAAGCCCTGCTGTGCGTCAGCAATGCATATTCTGTCCGAGTGTTACGCCTTCTTTGGTCCTCAGAAGTCTCGGGGCGCTGCAACACCACCTCCTGTCACATTGCTTGACTGGGTGGGAAGAAAGCGACTTCAAAGGAAGAGCCAACCAAAATGAGGTGGATCTTAATACAAACTTTCCCTTAAATGAGCTTGTTCTACTAAAACAAAAAAACTCACCTGTTTTTCAGGTTATTAAGTTTTATGGACTTTAATGAGAATTGGGCAGTAATATGCAATGAGCGGAATCCCCTATGCTTCCCACCTCTAATGCTCTATATCTCTTCCAGCTAAAAATACTTTTATTCCACTACTTTCACTGAGAAATTTGGTTCAAAAATGACGTTGCTACATCGCGAGACTCAAATGCCGAGTAAAAAGGGTGAGTCAAAAGCCTATGCAATAAATACTTAAATTTTCAAGAGTGACTTGAATGGAAAAAGCATTTAATGGTACTTTTTGATGGGGCAACTGGACTTGCACAGTTTAGGCATGGTAATCTATGCGTTTAGACATAATTCTTACTTCTCTATCCTCTTCCGTATCAGCAGCTTTGGAAAGGACGATTGCGCCGGCACCGTATAGACGTTCTCGGACAGATGTAAGCATTGGTTAACCACTCGAGGAAAAACACGATGCTGACTTTCACCTAGCGACATGCCATTCAGCCTTTTGCCCCCAAATAAGCACTCAGCTTTTCATGAAACAGTTAGTCTTTGATTAACGAGGTTTCCTTCACCATAAAATGCGTATTAGCAAAGAAAAGCAGGAGGGAAAATCACCTCTCCTCTAATCAGTGCAAATCAGACGAGCGAGTGAACGGAGGGGTTTTTTGTGGTTTCCTAGACCACCTTGCAGCCAAGCTGTTCCGTCGGTTGCATTCACTGCACACACTGCGTAACATCGTCTGTCCTTTGTTTTACCAAGGCTGAAGGGGTAAAATCAAAAATCACCTTCAAGCATTCCTTCATTCCCGCGCATGCCCCTTCCAACTTCTGCCAAAAGATCCAAAAAGAGTCATCAAAATGACCACCAAATATTAGAAATTCTTAAATAGATGATATGACGCACATTCCCTCAAAGTAGACAACATTGTGAGTTATTTCAAATTCCAACCAAATGATAACTGCTGCACATCACTTAAATCACGAATAAATAGGTCGAATATGGCAGGACTTTCGGGTCGAAAACGGTTTTTAACTCACGAAAAAACACTGTTTGAGTCGAAAGGTAAGCAAATGAAGGCTTCACCCTCGGGATCGCTCCGCAAAGCATTGAAACCCTCACCTCCGCCAACTAAGACACCCTGTCCACCAGCGATAGCATAGTGACCGCGTATTCCACTACAGTACCAAAAAGTCAAGAAAAACATCAAGAATGAAGAAGATTAAGGCATCCTGTCCAATGATAAATAGCTTTCAACCTAGCCATCCTGGGTAATAAAAACGATCCACCATTTGTTAATCATAGAAGCTTCTTAATTACCTTAAAAGGCAACAGAGAAGCAATGAGGGTGCGTTGAGAACAAGCAGAAATCACTTAATGCGGTCAAGTCACATGAGACTTCACCTGCCCATTCCCATCCGCGTGACATTCAACTTTCTCACCCAGTGGAATTGAGTAATGAACTCTAATAGTGGTAATCCTGAATCTTTTTGGCGGTCATCATGGGGAAATCAATTTACACACTCCTGCGTTATTTTATTAAGGATTGAAACCGTCAACCACAAAGCTACAACCCACCTTCTTTTAGACTCAATACAAACGGCGAATTAGAGGCATTCGGTGAGAAAAAATCACTCATTCGTCTCAGGACCTACATTTGACTCAGTCTGGTTTCTGTAATAGGTGGGGACTTTGTTTTGGTAAACCGCTCTATGAGATGCGCGACAGCTTTACACTGACCACTATTGACATCAAGAACAACTTCGCTTGGAGTAGTGGCAGTCTCCACAAAGCCTGTTGCACGACCGCCAACCGTGAGCACTTCACGCTCAGTAAATGCAATGGTAGTGTGGTAACTCCTTGACGCCGTGGTAGAGGTTATTTCGGTGTATACAAATGACTGGTTACTTCCAAGGTCAGCACTCACATTTCGGTCCGAAAAACCGTTAATTCTACCTAGAATGAGGAAGTAAAAAGAAAGGGAAATCCTACCACGCAAAATGTAGGCGTTACCGTGCCTACGCTGGGTACGTAGTGAGCCCTCCCGGCCGATTACGAGGGCTGCCACTTGATTCCCTTGCGTAGCCATGGGAACCAATGAGTGGCCTGAAAGACCCGAACCCTTTGGAAAGCCCTTCAGATGGGGTTCATGCAGTGCAGGGGGTAACCAACGTCCGGAATCGGTATCGAATATGTGAACACCGGCAGATCTGATTTTACCAGTCCAGCCTCCTGAAATCAAAACTAAGTAATAAAATTAAGTAGAAGAAAGCATATAACAGTCTACTAATGTTACAATGGCATCAACTAAATTAGACCACATTTTAAAAAAGAGGAAAGCACCACTTACCAACGAAACAAAGACAACCGCTAGAGCGATGGGGGATACATTGATGCTGGCTTAAAAAAGGGGAGTCGGCTGTTGTTATTTCGGTCCATTGACCAATTAAAGGTAATAATTGGATTTTGTAGAGTGAGTTTATGCAAGCTTGAGATTTCCCAGACGCACCAGAGATCCCCCCATGAATGAAGAGGTAGTCACCTATTATTGCACCTGTAAATATATCCCCAAATAGACTGCATTAGTCCTAATATGGGAATAATGCATAATAATGATAGCGATTAGTAGTATAAATGTGAAAGACTAATTCCAAAAAACGTGATTGTGCTTACAAATTAGCGGCTCAAATAGCAACTGCAAAGTCAGACGGAAAAAAAGTAAACTGAAGCATTTAATGATTTTCCAAATGCTAGGTAAAGAAAAGCAGAAAGGCTAAAAAAGAGCATTTTTTATGAGAAGGAATAGGCAATAGATTCATTTGCAGTGGCTTAATGATTACGAATCCTACTTATGATTTTAGATATGGATGGAAAATCACGACATACCTAACCGTATTGGCGAAATTAAGCACATAACTCAGAAAGACAAAATACACTAGAAACTGAGAAATAGCAAACCAAAACCTAACCAGCCACGAAAAAACCTTGTCAGTCCTTTAATTACTCAAGAAAAAGACTATTAAAAATCAACAAAATGAATTTTTGGGTAAAAATAGATTCGAATGCCAAATACGCTTGCTACTGAAAAGCACGTTTTAGTTTGTACACAGTCGAACTTTTGCGAACCGAGCTCGATTAAAATTCATTCTTAGGAAACCTTCTCAGCGGTTTGGCATTCTGCAACATTTACCCGAATGATACGCTACAGCAGGTCCCACATCCGTGCTGACAACTTCCCAACGAATAACTTCTGACCAACTATTTGCGCATTAGCGAAAATATTAGATACAGTACTCGTAAATGACGCCATTATCTGTTCCCATCTGCGGTTTCAGGGAGAGGGTTACAACTCTAATCAAGGCCGTCTATCTATCCTGAGCCCAATGACCACAGTTCGAATTGCGCATGGCGTCGAGTGAGCACTGAAACGAAAACAAAAACTTAACTAACAAGTCTTTTTTTCTAAAAGAGATATTATTATAGTACAAGTTTACAGAATTTCGGCTGCTTTTTTCATCTAGTTTCCTCAGTGCAACTAACACTTCACTTTTCTTATTTTGCAAAGTACATTCTATAATAGCAACGAAAGTTATATTAAGTAAGGTTAACCATTAGAAATTTTGCAATTTTAAAGGCAAAGCATTAACGCACCTAAAACATGCGCTTTTAGGGAAATTCTCATCATTAGTTAAAATATTTTTCGATTATTTCCTGTTTAAAAATTTACCTGATCGTCTCTATTCCTATTCGTATTTGACGCCTTCTTTTCGTGTAGAATATTAGGTCAATAGCAAAAAACGTAGGAGATTTCAGTGGCAGATATGAACCGTTACAAATGACCACATGACCCAATGCCAAATTGCGGTGGTTCATTGAGTGTGACTAAAACTTCGTGTTAAATATAATCCTCCTACCTTAAGGTTTCGGAGATACAATTTGTCCCATTAAACTTGTCAACAAATATTGACCTCAAATAATTATTTTTAATTTTTAGTGGACGATTAATTCCTTTCTGACCTTAAAAAGCTTCACTCAATATTTGTACATTTTAAATTATTCAAATAGCACTTAGGTCGTTCAAGTAATATCTGTCTCATGATTATGTCATTCAAGTTAGTCGAAGCTTAAAGAAGAATTAAAGATAGTAATTGCAGCGTCCCGAGACTCCCTGAAGACGAAAGAAGACACAATACTCTGGCAGAATATATATTCAGCACGGAGAAGGTGTCTGGGCTACTGGCATGGCCCAGAGGGCCAGCCCACCCGGTGAGGTACAAGGGGGCTAATTCAAAGTCCAAAAGTAGCGCCTCACCAGAACCGAGGGATAAGCCACTATCGTATTACATATATATATTTAGCATAGAGGTTTTTGGGCTGTTGGCATGTCCCGAAGGGCAACCCACCCAGCGAGGTACGAGAAGGCTAACTCAAAGTACAAAGTGGCGCCTCACTAATACCGAGGGTTAAACCACCATCTTGTTACAGTAATAATACACGCTTTACAGAAATTTTTGGCACATTTGCATATTTGCTGGAATTCCTCCATTTTAATCTCTTTCTTAAAAAAGACTCGAGGGGAGGTGTGTAAATGAGACGTAATTTAAAACTAGGTGGTTTTTTAAAGATCCTTATGAGGATAGCATTTTATGCAGACACCGGCGACCCATATTACAGGTTTGGTGGATGAGTCAACCATCCGATGCTTGCTTGGTGAGTCTGTGGGATGCATAATAGGATTAACCAATTCGGTGATATTCGTAAAGAAAAATAGATTATTTTAGGTGATAGAGCTTGTGCATGAATAACAGAAACAGAAATAGGCTCACTCTTCATACACTTTCTTAATCCTACCGTTCAGGTGGAATTGATTGCCTGCAGTTGTCACTCATGCTCCCTCTTTAGCCAATCTGGTGCCGATGCCACAGCACTCAAGGTCACAGCGCGAGGGCTAATAAATGGGTGGTGCGGGAGGGGCGAATTGAGGATTGACAGAGGAACACCATGAAGACCCTCGATGTCGTCTGTTCTGATACTTCCTCGGGATGTTACTCGGACAACACGGACTGTGGTTCCTGCACAGAAAGTATGACTTTTAATTCCCCCACCTCCACTCATTTCATTCATCTTACCGGTTTAAATCACCTTAAAAGCTTTTTAAATCAAACTAGACAATGATGGGAATGAAAGCCCTCTTAAAAGTTCGTTTAGATCATTTAAACGAAGAGCTGCAGTACTAACATTTAGTTCTTTTGACTTAAGCACCAAGTTTAGCTCCCATTTGGTCCTTATTTTCCAGTTTTCGCCTGCACAAAACCCATAAAACATGGCATATGCGCAATTTTTAATGAATAATGCTTCTCTGTTAAAGTACTCAAAAGGCAGAATCCCAACGAATAGCTTACGGAGTTTATCCCCATTTCTCTTGTTAAAATGAGCATGAGTTTGCGTTTGTAGCGCTGTAGATTCCTTTTCTAACAGTATTCACCTCATACATAGTACGCAAATAAACCAACACTTTTTACAGAGTATAAAAAAGTGAACCATCGTCACAAAACAATAATGATGTCTTTTATTTTCCGACTCCGATGCGACTGATTTTATAATGCATTAAGACCATTTAAAAGGGTATTTGATTGGCCCATATTCCGGGGTGCTCTGAGGTTGACAGTAATGTTCTTCCATTGTTTCAGTGTAATGAGACACCAATTTTTCTAGTCTGAATTATCCAAGCTGGTAAGCTGTTCACGTTAATATAATTTGGTCCTGGTTCGGTATCGTTCCGTGGACGAAGCGACGATACCGTGTACTTGCATGCCGAAAGACATTTTAGGCAAGTGGCAGGCCAATTAGTAAGAAGTATCGGGCGGTTGAGGGCATTTGTTGTGCCCTAACTTAAAGTCCATACAATGCTAGAGCATATTTACAGGATTTAGTGTTAAAATGGGTAACTGAAATCCAAATTATTGAGCCACATGGTCTTTTTGGAACATGGGTTATTTGAAATTTTGGGGAGAATTCTGCGTATAAATGCTGAGCACTTCCCTTCTTTAACTTCGCAACCGTCGAAGGAAAGAAACACGCCTTGTAAACAATAAGTATTCCGATATTCAAATAACCTAAAGGTGTTTTAGCTGTTCTTCAAAAGCATGCGTAAATAAAGCTGCTCAACAATTGGGTACATGAAAGCGCTTCAATTATGAATGGCGCGTACTATATTAGAGGTCTTCTTAGAGTGGGAATTTTCTCCTTATGTTATCCAACAAAAGTTGCAATTTGTTGATATGTTTTTTTCCGAATGTTCGTCCATCAAATTAGGGTTTAGCACCTACCCTCCACGTAATAAACAGCAAGATAGAAGGTTAAGATGGGAGATAAAAATTAATTGATTGCTAATTCACAAAGGTGTTGGGGATTTGTCGACTCGTTGTTTAAAAAGCGGATTCAAATCCGTATTTTGCTACAAAGATTAATGATGCGGGTGATGTAACACTTGATGTTTTATGGCCTTGGTGAATCGTGAAAGGACCTATTTCGAGCCATAAAACTATAAACTTGGCATTACAATGTTTATTTAGTGTTTATTGAGCGGTAAATCAAACTACAAATAACTTTTATGAGTTTGGGAAAGAATTTGGGTACTGATCTTACAGGGACATCTCCAATTTGAATTGCCTTATCTTTCTGCGAATAGGTCCAATTTTAAGTAAGTCTTTAGACTTATTTGCCGTATAATTTACGGATATTATTCATAGATTAAAAAAAATCCAAAAAGTTGGAAGAACTATTAGGATGGAGCGTCTACTTTTGATTAGGCAGCCATTTTAAGAATATTTTACTCGCTTTCGTTGAGGTATGACCGACATCTGTCCGGCATGTATGTCGAAGGCAGCGAATAGGAGAATCAGATTGAAGTACTACGAGCCGATAAGGCTGTGGACATGTCACAAGAACTGCACCGAGCCTGGCATTCAGTTGGTGGACCCGCGGGGACCCTGCTGCTCACGTATTTGCCGGGGGAGAATGAGGTGCGTTACCTCTCTCTTTGCCACTATTTCCTTCCCTGATTCGATCAACCCGTTTTGGTAGAACTGATCTAGGTTCCAGGCTGCAGAAATTTCAGTTTCCTACCTCAAAATATTGAAAATTGTATTATATTCACCGCCTTCTTTCTGTTTTTAAATTATGTCGCTCTGAGAATTCCTTGAAGACGAAAGATGGCTTAATACTTTGGCAGAGTATGTTTTGCCGACGTACAGTGGGGCTTGAGGCTAATGACATGCCCCGAAAGCCAGGCCGACCATCAATGGCAAAATGGCGGAGCCCTCGTAATTGGTCCGTCACTAAAGTTGAGAGTTAAACAAACGATTTAAGCGCTCCGCCGTAGAGCTAAAATCGAGGACAAAGGTTGTCCCACTCCTCTAGTCCTCGAACTCCACTGTCAGCGATTTCAAAGGTAGATTTGAGGTAGCTTTTTACCCAAGAGTGATGTAGAATAAGATTTTCATCAATTCCTCTTGGTTAAGATTTCTACTTATCATGTTATTTCAAAAACCTAGTCTTGACTCCTTGCAAATGCGATCTGATGCATTTTGAAATGTATGTCTTAAGTAACCTTTTTTCCGGAACTACCATTCTTTTGCAGTAATTTATTTATTTAATAGACATTAAAAATCCAAACGCTTTTTGACGGTGTAGATATATTTTGCCTGGTTTTGAGGTTCCTTTCATTTGCCTATATTCGTGCCCTCCCTCACCCTCCCTCATCTTCCACCCTGTCAGGATGACCTTGGGATCAGAATCTAGAAAGGATGGCCAGATGGTGCTAGGTTTTTGTTGGTTTTTTGCCTAGAAAACCTGGTTCTATGTGACATATTTTAAGTCGTTCAAGGACACACCTGGTTTCATCACAGAAGTGTTAGGACACAGTGGCGAACTTCAATAACCGTTGCCATGGTAACGATTGTGACCTTCTGGCCGTTTGTTCAACTCTTCGTTTTGGTTTCGCAAGCAGTTAAGGCTCCACCACCAAGCGGTGCAAGTAGTCACCCTCTCTCTTCCATCCCCTCTGGAAGACTTGAGACATGGTACTACAACCATAAATACACCTAGTGATGCAGTTTGGGAAAAGAACTTTTGTTACACTTTATTTTTCACATCAGCTCTTCTCTTTTGTGGTTTCGAATTCAATGTCGCCTTATCTGTCAGAGTAGACCTATTTTTGATGAAGGAGGTGAATTCGCTTAGACTCTCCTTTTTGTTTTACTCTGCACTCAACAAAGCGGTCGCTTTGATCTCAACAGGCTGTACCTCCACCCTGAGGCATTGCTTTCGGGCCGTGATAACAACCTCTCGGCTCTACTGTTCGTTAGTAAGTCGTATGTTCCCTCATGCTACTTTGGTTTATCGGCACTTCTTAAAAGACTTGGGGCGCTACAAAAGCCCTGTAAGCGCAGCCTTATCTATATCCATTCTTTGAGAACCTTTAGCCTCGTTCAACAGATTGACCAAGTTAATAAGGAATTTTGGATTTCTCATGCACCCGATGGCATCGCAGATTTCTCTCTTAATCCGACTTTACTTTGACATTATTCGTAGCTTTTACTTGTTGAGGGAAATTAGTGCGGCACCCCTAGACATACCTAAAAACGAAAGAAAACATAATACTCGGGTGGAAGACGTTCTGTTGACGCGCGGAAGGCCTGGGGGGCTACCGACATGGTCCGGAGGCCAGGCCGCTCAGCAGAAGTACAATTTACTGTCAGGCACAATTAAAAATCCCAAATCACAATCCCTAAGTAAAGAAGGCCTTATTCCTTCCCTGTTGCGATTCATCCAGAACGTGGCATCCCCAGGTGACTTTTCTTAGTGAAGTACTTCTCCCTCTTCAGTTCGTGCAGCTCTAGAAGCTGGCGGCCACACGCCCAAATGTATGGCATTCAGTTGACCTCACCGGAACCCTTTGTGGTGGAGTACCCACGCAACTCACCGATTCATGCAGTAATGCCAAGAAGTGTGTCACCCAAATCACCGATCTATCGCCGAAGCCCACCAATAATTCGTCGATCACCCTCTCCGGGTTGCCGTCGAAGTAGTCCGCATTTCATGCGCCGCTCCTCATCGCAGAGACGTCATTCCTCTCACTCCTTGCATCGGTCCATGTCGAGTGAGAGAAAACTGCGCCATAAACACATCCATCGTAGACCCTACCGTTCAAGGTCGTTTGCAGATTACGCCTTCGAGGAAGAAGAGGTGGTTGGACACGGTGGTGGAAGGTGCGTAGAAAGGACTTCAGAATGACCATTTAGCTAAGCCGGTTAAAAATTTTGGTTCTTTTCAGATATATCTACGTGAACCCGGACTACATAAGGCGTTACCATGGGCGTCGTGGGATGAATGAGAGTTTTACATCGTCGGGAAGTGCTGAACAACCGCACTACCATCGAGATGAAGTTTTTAGTAGTAGTGACTACTGAAGAAATAATAAAGCGATCTTCAAATCCCTAGCTAGGATATTAATTAGTTCATTCATCTTTATATTCGTCTCCATCTTCTTCCGCGCTAGCTTAAATTTTATTTTCGTTTCACCTCAAACCCGTGACTCCACAACCACGTAGGGTTGTGGTGCAGATAGAATCACGCGCGCCCTCCAATACAACAGTTTACCAGCCCCCATCTTACCTTTCGACTTTTCTTTCATATGACGATTTTTCTCTTCGAAGTAAACACACTATCATTCGCTTGGGTACTTTGACTTTTTTTAATTCTGTGCTTAAAGCGAGACCGTGGGCGTGACCAGTTTGGAGTAGTCGCATACAACGAAAATGCAGTCTCTCTCTTTCTCTCTCAACTTTTAAAAAGGAAAAATTGATTTCGATGAACTAAACCAATCTTTCAGGGTACTGAAGTAGAAGGAGGGAGATCGGGTGGAGGGTGGTGGGGTTTTTAAATGATCCAAGCGAAATCATTTGCTAATTAACTGGGCCGCTGATTGACAAGCTCTTGAATACATACAAACCGCTGTGATAGAAGAGTGCAGAAATAAAGTCAGAGATGTGTAAAATAATTTTCTCAGGTGAAATCTTTTGGAGATGCTACCAATTTATGAGAAAAATTTGGAAAATTGTTACATAGGATATAGAAAAGGCTGTAGGAGGATTTGTTGATGGAAAAGTATAAACGATGAATAGCATTTGCACAGTGGAAAGAATGCACGATTTTTGGCAAATTTTCCCATAAATTTTTGAAGCAGAGTTTTCGGTGAGGTAGATTCTAATTCCAAAATCATATTTGTTAATCCAGGAAAACGTGACGATAGCATCATATCGCCTAGCTTACAGGGGAACGGGCGACTAGTAGTAGAGACAAAGTGAACAGGACGTCAGGATACTCGGGTGGTAGTCCACTTGCGAGTCGTGAAAGTCTTGAGAAGCGAAGTACGCAGCTAAACAAGTATTTATGAATTTCTCGTACTTCCTTGTGTGCAGGGCATCGTCCTAAGCGTTTCCAGTGGCACAAAGTCCATTAGGCGATAGATCTGCCTGGTAAAAAGCTTGACTTGTAAGGTTCACCCTGAGGTCAATTGGTTTTTGGGTGAGTAGAATTAAAACCTTTTCTCCTCCCTGATTTGTTGCCATTTCCATGCTTTGCTGTTAAAGCAGCTTCTTGGGTTTTCAAATTCACCCCGTAACAAAACAGGGTATTTTGGAGCGCTAAAATTGGGGTGCAATGTTTTGTCTTTCTGTGAGTCGCCGGAAGGTACAGTCAATGCCTGATGAAACTTTTAGTTTAATCTTTCTCATTAAACTTACATTTTTAATGTTACAGAGTGGTATTACTTAAAACCGTCATAAATTCGCCAAATAATAGGGTTTTGAAGCCTATGAAAAAGGTGTACCTACAACAGAAAGATGATCTAGGAGGACGTTGGCATGGCTTATGTGTATAGGGTATCGTGGGATAGACACAGCATTAAAATTATGCTTACTTATTGTACAAAATACAATCTAACTCCAAAAGAAGAGCTTTAGCCCCCCCAACTTTGGATTTTCAGGACTCAAACCATAATTGCCCTCATTTTACGCTATGCACATTAAAAGTGCTACTATTTACAATTTAGTAGAACCTTTTTTTGATTAGGGCCGGAAGACCCTTTCATAAGGTGACAAAAATTTATAACATATTGCTGGTGAACTTATTTTAAAAAACAAACATGGAAACCGGTGACTGACACTGATTAAAAACATAGACTAAATTATTTGATTCGGGATTTAGAGTTTCTCTTTATTGTAATTTGAGTAGAAATTGGGGATGGAACGGATTAAAAGCAGAGCTTAAAAAGTATGGTTAATTCAGCTTTTGATTACCCAAGATCCTTGAGTCTCGGCGGATTAAGTCTCTGCAGCCTCAGCTCTTTTCTACGGCGATAATACATTTTTCGCTGTGACTTCTTACGACTTTAAGGAAATCACTTGATGCTTAAAAGTTATAGGTGTAAAACAGCATTTAACACTGTCATCTACATTATCAAAAATAAATGCATATCATTACCGTCCGTTCATCGTTTTGCTCCACCTGCTTCTCAGTCCGTCTTGGCATCTAAGCTAAGCAGCATACACTTCCGTGGTACAAATCATGAGATCTAAGAAATTGCCGATTTTTACGTGCTTAGGCTGGTTATTTTCACATAGTAATTAGATCTCAACATAAAATGCCCTTTCTAAAGCAAGGAGACAGTGATTATGGCAAGAGAAATTTCCTCATGAACCGAAGGGGAACTCAAGGAACTTCTGCTGTATTTTGTAATTTTCACCTAGACAGTGAGTCAAGGTAAAGGTAAGAGCCCTGAGCCAATTCCAGGCCAACCATCGATGAACAAAGAGGGCTTTTGTTAGCAATTTAGAATACTTCAAAATATTTTGGAATGAAGAGACAAATCATAGAAAAAGGTGACCCTGAGCCTCGTTTAATCACTAAAATACGTAAATGGTGTCTCATTTTACGAGTTTTATTTGCACTTACTAATGTTTAACAAAAAATTGTCATATTTTGCAACACACCACTCGGCTGTGATGTTGGACTTCGCATACACCACGTATTTGCCGATAAATGTTTTAGAAGTACATTTAGGATCCAACAGCCATAACTTCTGCAGCCTCAGTGTATTGCGGGACTAAGTGGAACACAAATTTTTTAACAGATAATGAGCTCGATTTACATGAGTAAAGGGATTGACAAGTAAAGATTTGAATGCTACCTTAAAAATAATGGTCCAGCACATGTTACATGACCTTACACTTAATATCAATAGACTCATACAAATTCTATTCGGCCAAGAGTCATCTTATCACAGTCTTCATTACTTTCAGTTCATAATCCGTCTAGGTGTAAGAGGAATTCGATGGCAAATAAATCCACACAGAAGGAATTTCGTGACTTCGTACATTTGGTAAAATTATTATTTTTATAATAAAACGTAAGCAGCAACGCTAAGAAATGTTGACCCTCGTATAGAAACTACTGAAAAACCTTTTCAAATTAAACTCTTTAATTGAACTGCTCCCGTTTAATGCAGCGGAACAAGTGGAAAAACGTTAGTTTTCGAAAAAAGGAATCGTTATTAAATTTAGATCTGAAGGATAACCAAAAAATTCCAGGGATTTAATAATTAAACATATCTCCCGCGAAACTATCAAATGGACGAAATGATGCTCGATTGACTTTACTACGGAAAAAATAAGCAAGGGATTATTGCTATTATACAGCATAAAAAACGAGGAGTCAATGTAACCTTAATCCTTTTCTTCGTGCTAGGTGAACAAGGTAAATGACTTACCAAAAGTGTTTTTTCCTGATTTGGCGGAAAAGCTGTGTTCTCTGTAAGTGCCATGGACTTTCGGACGATAGGAAGTCACTAGTAAAGTGAAATGATGAATTAAAAACAGGACTATTGAAAAATTATGAAGAAAGTGTTACGCATGGCAAATTTCTTACATTTCTTCAGTGGCTTAAAACTGCAATGACATTGAAATCCAGTTCGTTTCTATGCTTCCTTGAAAAGAGCCCGGCGTGTAGGCCTAATGGAAAACAAATTGCAAAAGCCATTCAGCAAGCAATTTTCTCAGAAATATTTGAAACGAATCCTTGCTTCAAGGTTGGCTGAAATGAAGTTAAATGGTCTAGATCTTCACACTAAACTCAATGGCCAATGTTGCATTGTGAATAGCCCGGCTGTACTGTAGCGCCCTGAGACTTCCCTGAGGCCAGAAGAAGACACAATACTTGGGCAGAATATATATATTCGACATAGAGAATGTACTAAGGCTACTGGCATGGCAATGTTGCTGACAAGTGACTTCCTCAAACAGGACATTCCATTTAAATTGGGCTGCAAGACACATGCTTCATAGGCGCACGACTAGCTTGCATATCGAGCTTACCGTAGGCAAGTCACTTAAAAATGTGCAGCACCCTTAAAAACACGCGGAGGCGCACCACTAATTGGCTGCGCAATCGCTACCGCCATGCGGAGAATTCCGGATCAGCGATCTTGGTTTGAAGTGTATGTAAAATCACTCGGTTATATGGCATGGCAAACAATAAGTGCTCTAAACACACGGCTGAAGTGCGTCTAATCCGGTTGTACACAAAGTTGCTAATGCCCTCTCAGTCTACCATCGCGACAATTTCATATTTTATTATCAATAATTGCGTTGCTGCATTTTTGGCAGGATGCATGCGAATTGCTTGTTAACAATGGCTTCGAACCGAAAATTCACACGACGCAATCTATCGCAGTGTTTAAGTCTGCCTTAGACCGGCAAATGCATTTCTCGCCAGACTGTGTTAGTTGTCGCCCCAGCTGCGTGTTACGCTGCTCAATGGTCTCTAATTATTCATAAGGATATTTCTTACAGATAAAATTAAAGACTGCGGGACCGTTCTTTATTGAAATGCGCATTAAGGCTATTAATTTACTGCGGAAAAAAGCATGAAATTTGAGGAATGTCGACAACTTTCGTAGATTAATATCTTACAATTCGGGTTTTTGAAAAGCTCCGCTTGACTCGTACCTCTCACAAGTTCTAGTTCTGTGAATAACGTGAAAGTCTGTTGTGAGTTGTCAGTTGTTTGACCGCCTCGAAAGCCCACTGTACCTGTAAAGCACCACCAAAAGAGGCATTTAATGCTTTATTAAGGTTATTTGAAACCTTTTACGAACAACAATGCATAAAATGAGGAAAGTCGTTTTGAAAGCAAATGCTACTCAAATGGAAAGCATTTATAAATGTCTTCCAAGTGTTGGGACTGCATATTCAATTCGTATTCTCCTCATTTTTATCAAGCCTGTGATAATCTGGATATAATAAATAAAGAAACGTGTTTTACTTTCCCATCCTGGGAGATAAATGACAATAATGTATATTATCTTTAAAATACTATTAAATGAAGATGAGGTGATGCCAAGTAACTTCAATGACAAGTTGAGGGTTCGCGTAGAAAGCGCGCTTTTCAGTGCGCGAGAAAATAGACGTAGCCTCCCAAGGCTTTCCTAAGGACTAGGTAAAACACAATACTAGGGCAGAATATGTATTACTGATGTACAGAAGGGTTGGAAGGCGGCTACTGGCATGACCCAGAGGCCAAACTGCCCATCAAAGGTTCAATAATGGCGCACCCAAGTGACACTTTACCAAAACTGAGTGTTGAAAACGAGTAACAAGTGGCATATACTTCACGAATGAGCCGCTTGCAGACTTGCATGATAATTAAAGCACAAACAATTGAAAACGGAGAAAAATGATGAGTATTAAAACTTTTCACAGCAGATATCCCTTCCGTTTAAGGCGAAAGTGGTAGTTGATGAAATGGGGGATAGGTGTTAAATAATGCGCCTAGGCTTAACTGAGAAAATTAGGGCTATCTTACTATTTTCTTACACATTCTACCTTTCTGGCAAGGACTTTTTTTTATACAGTTCGAGGTAATGTCATGTTTTCTGCGAGTGAGTGCTTCACTTATGCAAAATTTCCGCGTGTGAAAAGGTGGTAGCAAACATTGGAATGCTATTTATTATATGTACAAGTGCACAAAACCTCGGCCTCAAGAGTAATAAATTAACACAAAACCTATCCACATTCACCATACTGTTACCTTTTGGATCATGGCAATGACAAAGGAGGGATTTCCCAAAGTGGGCGAATTTAAGGGTAGAACCCGAGACTTTTTGAAAGAGAAAAGAAGACACAATACTCGGGCAGGTTATGTATTACCGACCCGCAGATGAGCTAAGAGGCTGCTGCCACAGCTCACCAGCCGGGTCGCTTGGTAAAGGAACAATGGCGGTGCCCTAGGAGAACTAATACGAAGATCAGCGTTCAAAAACAGGGATTGTAATAAAATTAATGACCAGACAATAGATTGCTGGTGACAAACAGTGAAAAAGGTGTTTTGGTAACTCAGTGACTTCAGTCGCACGATCCCGGTTAGTGTTACACCATTTAGCTTTTATTAGTAGTAAAATATCGTTTAAAGCCCTAGTTTGTGTAGCGCTGAGCAAACTCCGACAACGAAGCAGTTAAAGATGTGCCCAAAATCATCGCAATCTACTAGTATATCCTTTTACTGTTAAAACATTGTACATTTAATTTAACAGCGGTTCAATGATAATGTATGAATGTGGCTAAGATTTATTCACTCAATATAAGTCAGTCCTTCTAAGTGATTTTTACTGAAACTAAAATAATATTCAGATAAAATATCCCCTTTAAACCAGCAGCCTACCAATTGACTAAATTGCATTAAAAATAAACGTCCACTTGCCAATCATGAACTACTGTTTTTCTTGTCTCATGAAAGTTTTGGCAAACATTGATATTTTAAGACAGTTCTGAGCATGCAACTGCACTTGCTATCAGTGTGACCTGGACATTACCCACGTAAATATTTACTAAGTATGGGATATACAGTGTTTAGGTTAAGGCAATTCAGTCCCATTAAAAGCAAATTCCCACGAGGTTACTAACAACAGACGTTTACTGCCCTTCCACACTTCACTTAACTTTAACAAGTGCTCTTTAAAAGTGCGCCTTATGTATGCAAATGATTAGGTTTATTTTCCATTTGAAATAACAATTTTGAAAAAGGACAGGGTCATCATACAGTAAATTGTCCTTATTTTTAAAAAAACAAGGCAAACTCTTACGTGGTTTCTTATTACTCAGTAATTGAAAGAAAAACGCAGTCACACGAATTGAAGGCACAGCTCGTCACTACACTACGTCCTCAGGAGTATTCAGATGGTGAGTTAAGGAAAACGAAAAAATTGCATTCAACTTCACTTAAAATCAGCTTTTATCGTCTTGGACACTAAAAATCAGCTAGATAACTTGCATCAAAATGATTGTACTAATAGTGGTTCAACAGCATCAACAAAGTAAAAAAATGGTATGTTTTTTACAATTCCCTAGTTGTTTTTTTTTGTGACAGCTAAACATTTCAAAGAAAGTGGTCACGTATCTAGTAATTTGTAAAGGTTACCCAACTGCCTAAATATTAAAAGTCAGTATAACCAAGCAACCGTCCGGCTACTTTTGCACGAAATCAAAAGTGCAGTCTATTCATCAGGTAATAACAACACAAATATGTCATGCAAAGAAAAAGGATTTACAAAAGAAAGATAAGAGAACACGCGTCAAATATTCCCCCATCTGTACGGTAATATATCCCAATATGACTGGACGCCATAAGGATAACAAAGACCGATGCAACACGGAAGTGGTGTACAAGAACAGCAATTGCAGTTTACGGGAGGATATTTAGGTTCAGTCTGATAGCCTGCTTCCACTAATATCGGCGAGCCAGAACGCTCTTCCCTGACAAACGTTTCATCTTGTAAGCAAATACCAGTAGGTGGATCGTAATAACGTTCGATGAAATGTTTAAAAGGAGGCCTCGAGTAAGTAGCACAATAGCTGCGAGGCAGAACCGGTAAATGTTGCGACTTTGAGCGCGACATGATGTGACAGGAAGGGAACACAAATTTGAAAAGGCTGAACTGTTGGGTTGTGGGTGAGGAGACTTATGGGTTAGGTTAAACAAATGCATAACCTAATAAAGAAAACAAAAAAATCCACTAACTTTAATCAATAAATTTTAATAAACAAAGATTTTAAAAATTTTGTTTCGTCTCTATACGGAGTTTAACTTCTCTACTTTCATGACAATGACCTCGACTCTTAAAATAAATGCATTTTCTTACTAAGGAATAAGCAATACCTACATTATAGTTTAAACTAAAAAATATAACTTAATAAATTATTGCCTACGTGCAGCAAATGAGTAAAGTAATCTGTAGCAGACTTTTAATTTGGAATTCCGACGGCTCTTCCATCACAGGGTTTTAGTTGTTTACCCGCTTGTCGGCTAAGGGGTACATTTAAGCAACATAGGTATTGCGCAGCTCCCTCACCTTCTTGCACTGCGTTCAGTGCCCTCCTTAAATGTTGCCTTAAAATTTGCCATTTGGTAGTTTTCTTTTTCCAGTCAATGCATAAACTTTACCCTCGGTTCCCACCAGTGGATCACCTTTTACAGGGTCTCATCTTGTTGTGGTGAAAGACTATTGTCTAAGTATGGAGTTGTGCGTTGCGGACTAGGTAGCTTTTAGGCTAGATAATTTTCATTACTCAAAATGTGTCCTTGCTCCATTGGTGAGGGGATCTGAGGTGTATCCCAGGTGGAGAAAACGGCCTGTATATTAATACAAGGTCTCCTTCTAGGTAGGAATTAGTCCATCTGTGCTAGTAATAATATTTCTTCTCCCCGGCGCAGGACAATGGTGAGCGTTATGTCATCATTTAGATACAGAGCGTACTCTGAAACATTGTTGATTACTTCTTTTGTGTTTGGAGGGAATGTGTTGGAAGGCACTCTTAATTCACCACATGTGAGCACCTTTAACGGTAAAACGTTGATTAATGCGTTGACTGTAGCTCTGGGTGTGAGAAGGACCCGTCCTAGGCTTAAATCCCAGTCATCTGGTTGTGAGCCTTTAGTGAATGCCTTCTGCCTTCCAATCGGAGTGCAATTCGTTCTTGTCATTTTTTCATTACTTTGCAGATGCCTCGGTGTCGTGAGTGGCTTTGAGATCCAGAAGGTCATGCGTTTTTCGATGAAGGGTCAGTTTTCGAAATTAGCACCTTTATCGCTATGAATGGATTCGAGCACCCCATGCTGACAAATTCACAGATTGGAAAGAAGTGAAGCATTCCATTCAGCTTCTTGTATATTCAAGGGTTCCGTCTCAGCTGCTTTCGTGAAATAGTCTACCATTACCAGAATATATCGGTTTCCTCTCCTGGTGGGCGGCGGAGCACCCATGATATCTGAACCCCCTCTTTCCTTGGAAACCCCCTTGGCATAGTTGGCGGTGGTGCGATCTCTGTGGGGTGAAGCCTATAGAAATTGCTACAGGTGATACAGGTTTAGCAGAATTCTAGGACGTACGGGTTGAGAGAAGGCTACTACTATCATCTGCTACCACTTAGCTTCTTTGTCGCCCACCTGCCCGAGTTGCTCTTGTAACCCTTGTAGCGCTGTTTGTAATGATGGGCTAGGAACCACTAGACGTTTACCAGATTTGACATCTTCTTGGTACCATACAACCTTATCCTCTAAAGGGAGTTTCGACCATTCATACCATATTCTTCTGGTCGCCACGCTGGACGACCTCACCTCTTGCGATCTAAGCAAACATTTAACAAAACTTCTCTAGTAATTTTCTAAACACAGAAAACTACGGCGCTCCTTTTAATTTAATGGTGTTGACCATGTCCCCACATGTTTTGCACGGTCTTCAGTGACTGCTATCTCATCTGACGAGGCTTCATGTCGCTGGAAGGCCATCGAGCATTACAGAAAACGGCATTTCTTTGAGTTCAGGGTCAGTCCAGCGTCAAGCTTAACTGTCAAACACTAGTTTTAGGTTGGCGCTTGTCTCTCAAATATTTCCACCGAAAAAAGAGAATATCATGGCTGTGGATTATTCAATGCTACAGAAATAAACCAGCTAATGCCGTTTGCATCAGGCGTTGAAAAGCGTCAGCTGAGTTACAGGGTCCAAAGGGCATTGTCTGAAATTCATAAAGCCCGTTTGGTAGTAGAAAAGCTATCTTCTCTCTGTTCATTTTTGCCACTTCCACTTGGCAGTATCCTTAGTTTAGGACTGGGGTAGAGAACCACTCCGATCCGTGAAGGAAATCCAGCGAATCGTATACGTGGGGTAATGGAAATTTGTCCTTCTTTTTTACATCGTTCAAATTCCTACAGTTGATGCAGAGTCGTAGACTACAATCGTCCTTCTATACCAGCTCGATCAAAGCAACTCACAATGACTTTGACGGTTTCATTACCTCGTCTCGAATCAGCTCTTCGAGGAGATGGTATGCTTCTTCTAGCAGAAGAGGTGATGAGTGTTTAGGCGGTCGTCAGATAGGTCTTGCTTCGTCAATATTCATTGTATGCCTGACGACACTTGTTCATCCCGGTCGACTGCTTTGCCGACCTAATCAGCACCTCTCGAAGCTCTTTCCTCTCATAGTCAGAAATGCCATTTAGCTGTGCGCATAGGGCATCTAAGTTGTTCAGGGGTAGGACTGCGGCTTCAACGAGGGCGCTGCAGATGTCATCATCCGCGTCTTCTTTTGGTAGCGTAACAGCTGTATTAGCCAGGATGCCTTGCTGGATGGAAGAGATGTCTTCCGCAAAATTCTGGACAGACTTGATGTTGCGCAGATAATCAACACTAAATATCGCCTCCGAAGCCAATTTTGAACATGTACTAAATCCCAATGTCCAGTCTTCTTTCCCCATACAGACCTCTAACGATGCCTCCCCTTTTATTGCCATCTCCCTTTCTTCTGCTGAATGCTTTCTTGCAAAAGGAGAAACGGGCAAAATCTCCCAAATGGCTCCCAATCTTATATGAGGGTTCCCAGTAAACTTGAAGGACGTTCTTGTAGTTTTCTTCTCGACTCCGGTGCAGCTAAGTCAATTGTGAATCTCCAAGCCTTCCCTACCCTTTGCAACAGGGTTAAGATCCTCTCCCCTTCTACAAAATTGCGTTCAGCAGAGGGAAGGGAGATGCTAGTCGATGGAGAGACATTATTAAAAGTCCCCATAGGGAAGGAAACTTGGACAGTAAAATTCATTGTGTGTCCGGAACTGGCCTGGGACGTAATACTTGGCGCCGGTATCCTACGCTACACCAAAGCTGTCCTAAATTTTGCAGAAGGAACCTTTTCCACTTATG